TGGGACTGGTTGGACTGGGAACCAGAGCTCCAGTCTTCCCAAGGCCAAGATCCCAGGGGAGGAGCCATCTCAGGACACAAGGTGTCTGATGCCCCATGTTGTGTGTCTGTAATGTGAGTGTGTATGATTCCTTTGTCAGTGTTTGCATATCTGTGGTGTCTACATACATGTGTGTGTTTGTGTCTCTGTGTGTGTCTGTGGACTATATTCATGCATCTGGGGTATGAATGTGTAAGTCTGTTGTGTGTTTAAAATATGTATGTGTCTGTGTAGGTGTGTCTACATATGTGTATCTGTAGTCTTTTTATGCATATATGATTTGTGTATCTCCATAAGTGCCTATAGTGAGTGTGTATACAGCTGCATACTCAAATGTCAGTTTCTCAGTGATGAGGTCATGGACAACATTTTGAAGAGTATAATCCATTCCCTATTCCCTATATATCTTTACTGTCTTTTTTTGTGCAAACTTGTTATTGCCGATCAACATAATCTCATCTACTTAATTATTCTTTACCATTCTCTCTCACTATTGAAATGTAAGCTTCATGAACGGTTGTGTGCCTCTTTTATTTACCGCTGAATCTTCCCTTTCTTGAAAAAAGCATGGCAATTATTAAGTGCTCATTAAATAGTTTTTGAAAATTGTAAGGAAATTTTGAAAAACAAAAGAGTGGAGTGTGATCATGTTGGAGAGCAAATCAGAGAAGGGATCAGTAGTGGGGTTTTGAGCTGCCACTGAGACTGACATGTTGCTGATATAGTTTATGTGACTGTCCACACTGTGCTTTGAACCAAGTGTCACTAACTAAGGGAGAAGTAACCAGCGCGCAGGAAACTCTCACTATTCCCAAGACTGGTGTTTTCCATGTGCATCCTTATTTAATCCTCACAGCAACCCTGTGAGATAGGACATCTTGCATTCATTTTGCAGAGCAGGAAATTGAGCCATGGAGGGCAAAGTAGCTCACCCAATGTCATGCTCTCAGCATATAAAAGAGCATAGATTTGTTCCTAGGTCTTTGGGAACAAAAGATAATTTCAATATAGCAGGAAACTCACAAACGGTGTATGTAATCCATTGTCTATAGGGTGTTAAATCTACATGAATCTCCCTTTGGTCTCCCTTCCCATGGAGTATGTGGACCTTCTGGCTGAGACCAATGCTCCGGTCACTTCCTCACTGGGTCCTGATCTCTGAGTAGTAGCTGGAGGTGCCCTCCAAAGGATTCATCCAAGGGAAGCTGAGAGAGGCATAACACAGCTCCTCCTCCATCCCAATGGTGGAGGTGGCCCCCAAAAAGCCCGATACATCGGTGGGACCATGGAACTTGGACATCTTCTGGTGTTGCTGGGTGGCAAGGAGAGAAGTAGGACAGAGAAGGGCAATGATAGGGGGACTAGGGGAAGGCAGAGAGGGTCCATGAACTTAGTCTGATTCTGAGAGGACATTTATTCACTCTTCTATTCTTTCAGCAAACATGTCTTAAGGTCCACTTATTCAGTTAATGAACACATACAGCACTTACTGATTCATTTCCAATTCTGAACACTCACACAGATCTATATGGAAAATACTATTATTTTGCTGATTTTACAGACAGGGAAACAAAGCATCAGAGAAATTAGATACTTTCCAAGGTAACACATTTAATGACCATAACTCAACCCCAGAGCTCTCTGAGACCTATTTGCTGGGAACTAAATCCACAGGCAGGTAGCAAAGCAGAGATGGCTCTGTGACCTCCAGCACTGAAGGAGATGAAGACAGAAGCAGAGTAGTGATACACATGCAACTGCAAAGTGTGACACTGTGCAGGTGAACAGGAGAGAGTAGAAGAACGAAGGTCTTATAAGACCTTTGTCCTCGTGGAGCTCATAGTGTGGTGGGGAAGCCATGGGAATACAGTCACCATGAGAGGGAAAAGCCCCATGCAAATAAGCCCATGTGGTGTCATGGGAGACAGGCAGTCAGATTCTGCCAGAAATGACAAAGACTTAGAGAGTGTAGCCATTTACTTCTGCAGGCCCATTTCTTGCCTCTAGATTTACTGCAACATGTCTCAAAGGAGTCCTTGGCACTCACAGTTTCTACTTCCTCCCTTTCTATCTGTCTTGAACTCTCTGCAATGAAGATATATCTCCACTAGGGTACCAGATCTCCTTTTGCAAAGATCAGCTGTGATACCACTTACGTAAATTCAAATGGTCGTTTTCAGTCTCTATCTTACAGGACCTCTCAGTATTTGAAACAAATGACCAATCTCTCTTCCCTGAAGCTCTATGTCCTTGTGGCCACCAGGACCCAACCCTTATACTCTTCTGGTCATTCATTCCTCTTCCCTAGCTGCTGCATCTCAGTCTTCTTGCCATTTACACCTCATCTCACTGACACTAAAAGCTGGAATTTCCCAGGGCTTTGTCTGTGGAACTGCAAGGAGACATTGGGACTTTCTGGCATACAGTGTGTGAGGTAATGAAAGCTTAAAGAAGTACAATGAATTTCGTCCTAGTAATCATTGACAATGTGAGATGCATAGAAAAATACCTTCTGATAAATAAGAAAGAGCAGATGAATAAACATGCAAATAACCCTTTCTCGCCAGGCCATACCCCATTGGATTTTTTATAAGGATCAACTGCATTGAATGGATGGGAGTGTGCCTTCTTTGGAGACAGGCTCACATGTGGAAATGTCATCATCACTTATCAGGACAAGTTTTCTAAGACTTACAGCCCTTGACCTTCTGTTCGTTCCACAATCTTGATCTCCATGGGACTTGTGGCTGCTTTCACAGCCTATCCCACAATATGTAAAACAGAGAATGTCCAGGAAGTACCACAGTGGAGTTAATGTTCACTTAAAAAATGGGATAGACACATGCAGAAGAATGAAATATGACCCCTATCTCCCCCAACTCACAAAAATTAATTCAAGATGATAAAAGACTGAAATGTAAGGCATGAAACCATAGAATTCTATAAGACTATTTAGGAAAAACTCTTCTAGACATTGGTCTAAGCAAAGAAATTATGAGTAAGACCACAATGTCAATTACAGCATCAACAAAAATAAAGAAAATGGGACTTGAGTAAATTAAAATGCTTCTGTACAGCTAAAGAGTAAATATACAACCTACAGAATGGAAAAAAATATTTGCAATCTACACATCCAATAAAGGGCTAATACCTGGAATCTACCAAGAACTCAAATGAATCAGCAAGAAAACATCAAACAACCTCATTAAAAAGTGTGCAAAAGACAACAGAAGTTTTTCAAAGGAAGATAGACAAATGGACAATAACCATATGAAACACTGCTCAACATCACTAATCATCAGGATAATGCAAACTAAACCACAATGAGATAGCACTCCTGTTGGAATGGCTTTTATTAAAAAGTCCAAAAACATTAGATTATCCCTTTCTGTAGAGAGAAAGGAATTCTTATACACTGTTGGTGGAACTGCAAATTAGTACACCTCTTATGGAAAAAAGTATGGAGATCTCTCAAAGAACAAAAATTAGACCTACCATTTGATCCTGCAATCCCACTACTTGGTATCTACTACACAAAGGAAAACAAATCATTTTATAAAAAGACACCAGAACTCAAATGTTTATTGCAGCACAATTCACAATAGCAAAAATGTAGAATCAACATATATGCCCATCAATTCATAAGTAGATTAACAAAATATAATATATGTATACCATGTTGGTACTACTGGGCCGTAAAAATTGATGAATTAATTCCTTTTTCACTAATTTGGAAGGAAATGGAGACCATTGTCCTAAGTGAAGTATCACAAGAATGGAAAAACACGCACCACATGTACTCTCTAATAAATTGGAAATCACTGATGGGCACACAAGTACATAGAGGAAAGTAAAAGTCTTCGGAGAGGAGGGGAAGGAAAAAAACCCACCTAACAGGTACGTTGAACACTATTTGGGTGATGGGCACATTTATACCTCTGACCCATGTATCAAAAACTAATTTTGAAATTAAAAAATACAAAATTTATAAAAGCAGATTAAAATGTTTATGGGAATTTCGTTAACTACATTTGCAAATGTCACTGATCTTTTTAAAAGCATGTTTTTCTACTGACATTCATTTGGTCAACCTGTGATTATTTAAAATTCATTAAGTCTATAAAAAAAGGAAAAATTTTGGAAAATGAAAAATAAAACCTAAAAAAAACAAGGTTGGGGGGTCCGGAACTTAAAAAAACGAAGGGTGAATTGAAAAAACAAAAAAACCCCAAAAAACTTCAAAAGGGGGGGAATGCTGACGACTCCTGGTGTGGAGGTCAAGCCCCCAGATCCACCTCCCCCACTTCCTAGGGCCCCACATGGGGAGGGCTTGGGCGGGGGAGAAAAGTGGGCCCCCCCAACCCCCCAACCAAGAACCCCCCGCAGTCTCTAAAGCCCCGGGAAGGGAACTCCCCGAATTCCCCCCAAAAGAAAAAACGGGCCAAACGAAGGGCCAACCCAAAACCGGAAGAAAAAAACCGAAGGCAAAGAAGGGAAGGGACACTGATGGAGAAGGGCTGAGACCCGACTGGGACCGGCCAGGCTGGACAGGGTCCAGGGTCTCTCTGGACAGTCGAGAGAGGGAATCAGCCCAGTCACACCGAGGTGGGAGATGGAGGGTCCGTGCAGAAGTCCGGAGACCCCGCTTAGGACCGGAGGTGACATCATGGGCAGCATGGCCATTGGCAGCTCCAAATGCCAATCAGAGCTGGCCAATCGGTGCAGGCTGGGGTAGAGCTGTGCGGAGCTCGGGCTCTAACCCCCAAGGCTCCTCCCCTTGTACAAATTTCCACAATTTTATGTACGTGCACTCACATACAAAAACTGGAAAACGTAAAATATTAACAGTACTATGTGTATTTTAATTTGCTTTCTTGTACTTTACTGTATGTTCTAAAGTTGTTTTCCTCACAAGGTGCCTAAATTGCTTTTATAATTAGAAAAGAAAAACAATAAAGTTGAAAGAGTACGAAGTTAGTCCAGAGTTCATAATACCACTTCTGGAACTAGTGTCTGAGCTGTATTCTTGAATGAACTCCAAAATATCTAAGCACATTTGTTCATAATAATGGCATTTACAACTGGAAAAAGGAAAGTGGAGAGGAAGGGAAGGATGGAGGATGGGAAGGAGGAATAGAGGGTGGGAGGCGGAGGCATTTTGCTGGCTGAGTCTGACTCTGTGTGGGCTGCAGGCCCTGCTCTCAGGAACAGCGTCACTGTGGGGCACCCTCCTCACAGGGCTGCAGGGAGGACGCAGTGAGCAAATACTCACAGTTACGACAGTGCCTGGCACAAGGCGATCCCTCAGTCAGGTGCAGCTCTGTGGCCCACTGATTAAGCTCCCCTCTGTGGCCTTGTGGAAGCTGCCTGGATTCCACCTGGTCCCTGCACTTGTGTCCTGTGTGGCTCTGCAACTGTCCCCGAGTGACTGTGGAGCCTGCGTGAGACAGGACAGGTGCAGGATCCCATGCACAGTGGCGCCCAGCAGGTGTGCTGCCTTCACTGCACTGGCTTCTTAGGGCTGCTAGGACACATTGCCACAAACTGGGTGACTTACAACCACAGAGATTGATTCTCTCACAGTTCTGGAGTCCAGGTGTCCAAATTCAAGGTGTCACCAGGGCCATGCTCCCTCTGAAAGTCCTAGGAAGAATCCTTTGCCTCTTCCAGCTGCTGGTGGTTGCCAGAAATCCTTGCCATCCCTTGGCTCATGGCAGGATAACTCCAATCTCTGCCTCCATTGTCACTTGGCCTTCATCCTCTGTGTGTCTCTGTGTCTGAATTTCCCTCCTTTTATCAGGGCACCAGTCATTGGATTTAGGGACCAACCTAATCATGTATGGCCTCATATTATCTTGATTGCATCTGCAAAGACCCTATTTCCACACTATGTCATGTTGGCAGGTACAGGGGTTAGAATTTGAACATATCTCTTGAGGGATAATATTCAGCCAACAGCACTGGGGGTTCATGATCAGGATCATGGGACTACCGGATGTTTCCCAGTGTCCATCTCCAGGCCTCTGCTCATGAGCTGCAGGATGCTGGTCTCCACTGGGACATCCCAGAGGCTCTGGAGCTTCCAGCATGTGAATCTGTCCTCATTGTACCCATGTTACCCATGCCCCCAAACACCTAATAGAAATGAAAACAACTTAACACAGTCTTGTGCAAACATGTTCACAGGAGCTGTATTCATAATTGCCACAAATCAAAGCAAATATTCATGAACAGAAAAACTTGGATATACTCATGCCATGGAACCCTAGGCTGTAACAACAAGGACTAGAATGTTGACACACAACATAGATGAATCTCAAAAAGTACAATACTGAGTGGAAAAAAAACAGATACAAGAATACATATTTACATTGCCAATTATGTAAAGTTCTAGAGCATAGAAAGGTCATGTCTGGTAATGGGAATTAGAAAGTGGTGGTTCTCAGGGTTGGGGATTGCCTGGGAATGGGAACCAGCATCTTTCTGGAGTGATGGAAAATGTCTGTATCCTTGTTGGTTACAGAGGGGTACACATTTGGCCAAACTCATGGAATTGCACACTTAAGATCTATATATTTCATTGTAGGGAAATTTTGTCTCAATTGAAAAATAAATATTATTTTTAAATTTCAAGGAAAAACAAGCAAGCAAGCAGGTAGTTAAAAAGACTATTTTTAAAATTGGGAAGAAAACAAAGGAATAATTAAAAACCTGCCACAAAGGTTGGGCAGGAGTTCCCAGCCTTTATCACCTCCACTGCATTTGTCTTGTCCCTGAGACTCTAGACATTTACTACCACCTCTTCAGTAAATATCAAAGCCCCCAAGAAATATTATTTGCTGTAAACTTAGGGCCAAGGGCACCCAGCTTGCTGGCTGTTTGACTTAAGGTTGGATGAGAGCAGAGACTCAGAATCAGGTGGGGTTTAAACTCCAGCCCTGCCCTGAGTACCTGAGTAGCCTTGAGACAGCCCCAGTAAGGTTTCCATACATGTATATGTTCTGGAATGATCACATCTGTGTGTTAGCATAGCCATCACCTCAAGTATTTATCATTTCCTTTTGGTTATAACATTCAAAATCCTCTCTTTTACCTATCATGAAATATACAACACATTATTCTGTCATTTGCAAAAAAAAATGGATAAATTCAGAGGATATTATGTTAAGTGAAATAAGCTGGCACAGAGACACAGATAACATATAATCTCACATGTGGAGTCTAAAAAAGTCAAATGCACAGAATTAGAGAGTAGAATACTGGGCACCCGTGGGGAGGGGGTGCTGTACAGGGAAAGGGGAGATACTAGACGAAGGGTCTCTATTGGACAGGAGGAATAAGCTCCGATGTTCTATTGCTCAGTGTGGGGCTTCTACAAGAATCAGCCTGTGACATCTCCTTTGCTTGAGGGGATGGGATCCCTCACCCAGGGCCGAGCCGCCCCAGTTTCTCACTTGCGGATCTTGATCTCTGAGTACTCACTGCCGGTGGCCTCTTCCCTCTGCGAGTCCTGAGGCTGAATCCTGTGGAAGTCCAGAGAGGCATAATGGAGCTCCTGGTCTTGCTCCTGCCCTGAGATGCCGGAGGCCTCGGCCGGGGGAGGCTGATCTGGGGGGCTGTGTTCCGCCAGGGGTTCGATTGGGAGGCTCTGAGTGGAGAGAGAGAGGGGAGGGAGAGTGAGAGCAGAGAGGGGGCAGGATACAGCAGAGAGAGCCCAGGGAGGAAGCCCATACGCCCCTTCATCCTTTGCTCCCACACACATTTTTGTTGGAATCTCCTTCATTCATCCTTTCCTTAAATATTTAACACTTAGCGAACATCTTATTTGGAGTTTACCAATACCATTAACTTCCCGCAAGACCTCCATGAGGAGGACATTCTAATTGTCTCTGTTTTGTAGATCCAAGCACTGGGGCAGAGGCAGGAGGCAGCCTGCCCAATCCTGTTGCACCAGGGTCCAACCCAGTCAGTTCTCTGACCCCACAGCTGGTGTCCCCCGGAGGCCCCATCCCCGCCCCTCCGTGTGTGAGGCCCTAAGCTGGGTGTCAGATGTGCTGGGTGGACACAGCACACGTGGGCCCTGACCTCTTGCAGCTCACTCTGTAACTGAGGGAGGGCAGCAATAAATAACTGCTCACAGTGGCTGTGTGTTCAGACATGGCGCACACACAGGCTGGGCTTCTCCACGCTCACTTCCTGCTCACGGCCCCTGCCTCCCTTTGTCTAACCACACGGCTCTCCCTCTGGCTCCCCACCCCCCCCCACGTCAGCCTCCTGTGTCTGACCACTGCCCCCCCTCTTCCCCGTGCCTTCAGCCAATCGAATGCCAAACTCTGAGCCTCCTTCATGCCTTTGCTCAAAATTCACTAGCAGAAACCACAAGTCAACCTACGAATGGGATTAAAAAAAATTGCAAACCATACATCTGATAAGAGGTTAACATCCAAAATATATAAAGAACTCCTATAACCTCAACAATGAAAAATAATTAATCCAGTTAAAAAATAGGCAAAGAACTCTAATAGACTTTTCTCCGAAGAAGACAATGGCCTATGAGCACATGAAAAGATGCTCAGATCTTTAATTATTAGGAGAATGAAAATCAAAACTATAATGAAGCCGGGCGTGGTGGCTCACGCCTGTAATCCTAGCACTTTGGGAAGCTGAGGCGGGCGGATTGCTCAAGGTCAGGAGTTCGAAACCAGCCTGAGCGAGACCCCGTCTCTACCAAAAATAGAAATAAATTAATTGACCAACTAAAAATATATATACAAAAAATTAGCCGGGCATGGTGGTGCATGCCTGTAGTCCCAGCTACTTGGGAGGCTGAGGCAGTAGTAGGATCACTGAGCCCCGGAGACTGAGGTTGCTGTGAGCCAGGCTGACGCCACGGCACTCACTCTAGCCTGGGCAACAAAGTGAGACTCTGTCTCAAAAAAACTATAATGAGATGGCACCTCACGTCCATTAGAGTCTAATAGCCATTAGAATGGCCACTGTTGAAAACAAACAATTAACAGAAAATAACAAGTGTTGGTGAGAATGTGAAGAAATGAGAACCCCCAATTCACAGTTGGTGGGAATGTAAAATGATATAGCCTCTATGGAAAACAAGTGTGGAAGCTGTCAAACAATTTAAAATACAATTAACGTGAGATCCAGGAATCCCACTTATGGGCATAATCCAAAAGGATTGAAAACATGATCTTGATAAGATATTTGCACACTCATGTTCATGTCAGCATTATTCACAATAGCCAAGAGGTGGAAGCAATCCAAATGCCCACTCACACATAAATCGATAAAGAAAAGGTGTGTGTGTATGCACAAAGGAATATTAATCACTCTTTTAAAAGAAGGAAATTCTGTCATATCCTACAACATGGATGAAATTGAGGAGGTATGCTAAGTAAACAAGTCAATCACAAGATGAAAAACACTGTATGACTCCACTGGTACGAGGTATCTAGTGTAGTCAAACTCACAGAAACAGAAAGTGGAATTAGTGGTTGCCAAGCGCTGGTGAAGTAGCAGAGGGCAGGAGGGGAGTATTGGCCAATGGATATAGAGTTTCAGTTTTGCAAAATGAAGTTCTAGAAATCTGTTGCACAACTGTACACATAAAAGGGTTAAGATGGCAAATTTTATTTTATTTGGCTTTTTTTTTTGCCATGATAGATGGAGAGATAGATAACAAAAATAAACTCACAAAGTATACCTTTATCACTTCCTATTTTCTGTACCTTGCATTGCACCCAAGAATCTATCTTTTACACTGTGTTTATTAATGTGTTGTTTTGTTAGTTGTTTGGTTGGTTTGTTGGCTGGTTTGTTTGTATTCTTCTGTCTAGAATAAAACTTCATTGAGCTCAAGACTTTTTAAAACTTTTTCATAGAGGGGCCCCTGGAGACTACACTGCTAGTCTCTTGGTAGGTGCTCAATAATTTTTCCTGAACAAATTAATGAATGAAAGGACATATTTTACTCTGTTGCCCAAAAGCTTCCACAGGCTTCCAGTCACATTCCGAATACAATCAATAAATAACAAGTGTGACATTTACATTGGAGCATGAAGAATAAACAGAAAGGAAGATGTGGAAGTGGAGAGGGAAGAGCATTTGAGGAGGGAGGAGCAGCCCATGCAAAGGCACAGAGGCCCAAATAACCTTGTTCTAAGTGACAACAGTGAAAAGTCCAAGGTGGATGGAGCGCAGGAGGTGGCTGGAGGGCAGAGCTGGCATGAGGTGAAGCGAGTTTGGTGCTCACCAGAACACAAAATTAAAAGAGCGCCAAACATCTCAGCAACTGAGAGAAATAAATGTTTTCATGCAATATTTCTAAAATCAAAATTAATGCAAAAAATCCATGGAAAACAAAAATTTAAATAAAACCTAGATTAGTAAGAGTGCTTTGTTGACTCCATGGGAGCCTGAGGCAGAAGAAAAAAATATGCCTCTATTTGTATGTTTTTATGTATTTATGGCCAATTTTTTCCAGAACATTAATAATTAAAATGCTATTGCCAAATTAAAAGTAGTATGTATTAAAACATCACTTTTAGTTTGAAGACGTTGTGTACACCCAAACCATAATTTGTTTTTCACAATTTTGTTTTCCTGGATCTACTGGAAGCAAAGTAGAGACAATATTTTAAAGATCTTGGTCTTTGCTTCTCTAATTTTCAACGAAGAATGCTGCCTTGTTTGACAATTGGGTTAGTCTTATGACTAAGTGGTGATCTTAAGCAATTTTTAACTAACTTCAGTTTGCTGATCCTGTCATTATTTAAAATTTTGATATTTTGTTCAGCATTACCTTTTTTAAACTAATTTTGATTTTTAAAAAACATAGTGCAAGCCGGGCGTGGTGGCTCACGCCTGTAATCCTAGCACTCTGGGAGGCTGAGGTGGGAGGATCGCTAAAGGTCAGGGGTTCGAAACCAGCCTGAGCAAGAGCAAGAGCCCGTCTCTACTATACACAGAAAGAAATTAATTGGCCAACTAAAAACATATAGAAAAAATTAGCTGGGCATGGTGGCACATGCCTATAGTCACAGCTACTCAGGAGGCTGAGGCAGGAGGATTGCTTGAGCCCATGAGTTTGAGGTTGCTGTGAGTGTTGCTGTTTGAGGCTGACACCACAGCACTCTAGCCTGGGCAACAGAGTGAGACTCTGTCAAAAAAAAGAAAAAAAAAAAAAACCATAGTGCATAAAAACTTTGTCTTAATTACTGAGATTTTTGGCATGCCCTTAAATTTTGCATTCAAAGAAAGTGCCTCACTTACCTCATCCTAATTCCTGCCCTACTTGAGAGGTAGGTGCTTAAGGGGCCAGAATGTTTAGGGCTATAGGCTGAGGAGTTTGGGGTTTTTACTCTAGATCAGGGGTTGGCAAACTACAACCCTCGGATCAAATCCCATCAACTGCTTGCCTTTGTAAATAAAGATTTATTGGAACACAGCCATTGTCATTCATTTACACATGGAATATGGCTGCTTCCATGCTACAGTGGCAGTTGATTGAGTAGCCGCAGCAGAGACTATATAGCCCACAAAGCCAAAAATATTTACCATCTGGCCCTTGTAGAGTAAGTTTGCCAGCCTCTGTTCTAGCAGTGCTGGGGGCAGGGAAGCGCTGTTTAAATGCAGTGATGTCTTTGGGAAGATCCTTCCAGGTAGGGAAGGGGAAGTGAGAGGCAGGGTGATGAGGGGGCCCAAGAAGAGAACCTGAGGCCTCAGCAATGAGAGGGGTCAGGATGGAGGGTGGGGACTCATGCTAGCTGTTCTTAGGGGGAATGAACAAGACATGGTGAATTTGGAGCTATAGAGAAAAAAAGGAGGAGAGAGAGCAGGTTATCTCCTCCTCCAGGCAAGCCAGGCCTGGGAGCAAAAAGAAGATGGTGTTGTCCTGCTCTCAGCAAGATGGGGACAGCTGCCTCAGAAGCCGGCTCATGGGTGAAGGAGGACATAAAGAAAGACACTTTGGACATGCCAAGAAGAGTAATCCTGGAGGCCATCCTGTGGGAGGTGTGCAGGCGATGCTAGATGTGGAGACGCCCATGTCACTCACCTGAGAGGCTGGGCCCCTGACAGCGTCTGCCTCCTCCACAGCCGTGTCCCCCATGCCCGCTGCTGCTCTTGCCCTCTTCCTCCTGCAGGACCTCACGCTGAGAGGACAGACCAGAGAGCCTTTCAGTCTGGGCAGATCAGGGCACAGTGGGCAGGTGGCCCCACCTCTCCATCGTATTAAGGGGCTGGATGGGTGACCAAGGTGGGAGGGGGTTGTCCAGCCCGGAAGACCCCAATGTTGAGAACACAGGTTCCCCTCTCCTGGACAGTGGGGCCCGACGATTGCTGCAGACTCGGAGCCCCACAGACACAGGCCCATGTGGAGTTCTCACCGTGCACTCGTGACCTCCGTCTTGCCCTTCAAGCTCATGACCCCTCCAGCTCCCTCCAGCTCTGACAGCAGGGACTCTGCACCTGGCCTGCCCTCCCCCCAAGGTCAATGCTTACATGATGAAGATGACGCAGAAGGACAGGAAGACTAGGGCTGTGGCTCCAGCTCCCCAGACAGCCCCCAGCGTCACCCCTGAGAAGGGCCACACTGTGCCTGCAGATGCAGGAGAGCAACTCCGGTGACTCACTTGCAAGGGTTGGGTCTCTCCTCCGCCCACCCTGTAGCGTCCTAGACTTCTAGTCCCCTCCCTCCTTCCCAGACGCAAAGAACATGTTCAAAGGGGGAGGAAGAGGGACCATTCCAGAGGCCAGTGGAGCCAGGAAGTGCTGGGTGCACGGGTTCTTTCTTTAAAATTTTGATATCTTGTTCATAGTGGAATGATTTTGCATTTGATTTTATTTTTAAAAAAAGATCAGCACATCACAATATTTCTTCCCTTGACTGCTGACTTGTTTTTGGCTTCTCAAATTTTGTGCCAAAGGTGAATTCCTCACATGTCTCACCCTAGTCCCAGCCCTGCAGAGCAGGGACCTTGTCTCCCCAAACACCCCTGTCCAGGCCCCATCCCCTCCCCCCCAAGGTCCACCTCCGCCCCTCGCCCCACCCCAGGCCCCTGGGGTGGAAGGCAGGAAGAGGACAGTGATGCTCAGGGTCACAGGAAAGTTCCAGGCCTCACAGCTGAGCCTCCCTTTTTAGCTAAGAGGACTGCTGGGTGGACCCTGATGGTGGGGCAGGTATGATGTCCTCCTCTAGACCCTCCCCCACCCACCTGTGTACTCAGTCTGCAGACAGAGGCTCAGGGAGACGTGCTGGGAGCCCAGAAGGTTCTGAGCTCGGCAGGTGATTTCGCCTTCATCCCTGAGGTACATTGGAGGCAGCTCCAGCACCCCAGGGTTCAAGAGCTCCGAGGGGCACAGGGTCAGGCTCCCCAAGGTCCAGGTCAGCCCGGCAGGGGGATTGCTGTCAGCAGCACAGAGCAGGCGCAGAAACTGGCCCTCCAGGACCGACACAGATGAGCCGTTCTCCACGGCCGTGGGTGCTGTAGAGAAAGAGACAGAGGGTCAGAGAGACACAGATATCTAGAAAAAGGGGAAGGATACAGAAAGAGACTGTTGAGTGGGACAGACACACAGGGACTGAGTGGAGGAAAACACACATTCACTGTTCACTCTTGGGGATGTAAACCCTTAATTGAGAACAATTTGGCCATATCTCTCAAATAGAAAGAACATATGACCCAACTATATGCTGCTTTTAAGAATTTGTCCCACACGCTTATATATTACTTGTAACAGTGGATACAAGATTATTCCTTGCAGCATTTCTGTGGTACAATGAAGTTAATAATAAGGTTTTTCATTAGAAGATGTCACAAAATCAGAGTCCACCCAGACAAAGAAACATTACATTGTCCTAGAGGAGCACGGGGACAATCTGCACTACTGAGATCAAACCACCTCTGAGGTCCTGCAGGTGAACAGATCAAGGCTCAGAGCAGCCTGTGGGGACCCTGGTGGGTTCTGGGGAGGGGACAGGCCTCTGAGGACTCACCCTGCTGTGCATTTGGAATTGTCGCCCATGAGACCATATCACCCACCCAGAAGTACATGAACTATTAGGGAAATAAAAGATGAGGCTAAAGGAGGGCTCAGGACACAAATGACAAGAGGCCTGGAGGCCAGTTCTGCTGTGAGTGTCGCCCTGTCCTTGCTGTGGGCCAAGAGGGTGTGGAGGTGTCTTAGAGGAGGGAGGGGCCCAGGGGGCTGAGCGTGGGCAGGGGCCCTGGGGTGACCAGCAAGGGGGTCTCAGGTGACCAGGTGAGTCCAGGTGAGGAGGACACGCCTGCCCTGACTGAAGAGGCCCAGCTCCCGCAGCCCAGGGAGGGCCCCGTCCTACCTGATCCGTTTCCTCCGAGGACAGTCACGGTCAAGTTCTGAGGAGAGTCTGGGGCAGAGAGACACGGCAGCCCCACATCACTTCTTAGAACTGGATGGACGCTGGCCTCTGTGCCCAGGAGCCACATCAGGGGGAAGGGGGAGCCAACACCCTCCTGACCATCCCCACCTGGACTCCACAGCCCAGCACCCCGCGTGCAGCCCTGACCCATCCCGCTGCCCTGGGGACCCCCAGCAGGACCCCAGGCTTCCCAGCCTAGCTCTCACAGGACACGTTGAGGTGGATGGTCCTTGTTGTGATCACACCGGCCCCAGGCAAGGTCACCTGGCAGGTGAGATTGGTGCCATGGTCCTGGGGCTGAGGGATGAGGGTGAGTGCCGTGGAATAGCCAATGGTGGGGTCCTGGGGAGCCACGGAAGCCCCCTCCCAGGAGATCCTGGGGGGCGTCCCCTGCTCACAGGCCCAGGGCACAGAGCAGGTCAGGGTGCTGGGGCGGCCGCACTCCAGGGTCCCCGGGAGGAGGATGTCGGGCGTGTGGGTCAGGGCTGGGGAGGAGAGGGGGACACGCAGGGTCAGGAGGGAGGGTCCAAGGTGGGGCCCTGAGAGGACTCAGGCTCTGGTCCAGCTCCTGCCCTGAGCCCCACACGCTTCACCCCCAGCCCCTCCCAGGACGGGGTCCCAGCCCAGCCCCGCCCTGCGGCCCCCACCACTTCCCCCTCTGGGCCTATCTTGGAAACCCAACCTTACCTGCCACTTGCACAAAAAGCTTGTCATTCGTGTAACTGAATTTTACATTTCTTCCTGTCTCTACCCGAAAAAAGTATGACTTCTCGTCCCTCCTTGTGGCGTCTCTGATGCTCAGGGAGCAGTTGCTCCTCCTGGGATCCCCGAGGAGGTGGAATCGGCCCTGGGTCTCCTCCTGCACGTTCCTAGCTGGGTCGTTTGTGGCCACTGGAGCGCCACGGTGTGGATCGGCCCCTTCCGGGAACCAGTAGCCGTGAACAGGGTCAGAGTCAGTCCGGCTGTCCCCATGGTAGGAGAAGGAGCAGGGCACATGGACACACAGGCCCTCCTGCACCGTCACCACACTCTGCACTTGCAGCCTGTAACCTCCCCTGTCCCCTCCCTGTCCCTCCACCCCCGCCGTCCCCCAGAGCAGGGCCAGCAGCAGCAGCAGCATGTCCGGGCGCAGGTGCCAGGGCCGCCGGGGACAGTCTGCTCCTCGGGGTTCTTCTCTCGGGAACTGAGAGCTGCAGGACTTAGAGGAGGCCCCACAGGAAGCCGGGGGCGAGGTCAGAACCGTGACCCTCAGAGGAGGAACTTCACACCCTGACACTGTCAGGGCCAGGACAGCCCTTGGAGATTGACCATCACCACCCACGTCCACTCCTGGGGACCTTGAAGCCAAAGAGGGTGAGAGTCACCCAAGTTCCCACCCCATGCTGGGCCTGACCATATCTCTTGCCATACTGTCAATGTCCTTTCCCTTGGGGGACATTTTCTGGAAGGTGGCAATAGGCCCAATCTGGCCAGACCCTTGAGTCTCAGGCTGTGGGTGTTTGTGGAGGGCAGGGGTGGGGCTCAGGGACAAGGCCATGGTGGTGGCCCAGGCGGGGTGGGCAGCAGCCTCCTACTCCATCAGCAACCACATGTGGCCGTCCCCTCTGCACATGGAGGTCAGCACAGCAGACCCAGGTGCTGTCCTCATGGATCACCATCCAGGGAGAGTCAGTAAGTCTCCCGACCTCGGAGCTCCCCACGACAGGAGATTCAGTGGGTGACGCACAGGCAGGGTGGGGGTGGTTCCCCCTAGTTCGGAGGTGTAGTGTCAGGAGGACTGAGCGCAGGGACACGGGCTGTGGGGTGAGGATTCCGTGTGTGAATACAAGTCAAGGACACAGAGGAGGCCTGGGAAACGGAGGCTGTTGTTATTGTACGGTGAGGTTTGGTGGGGAGGAACGTCTGAGACGAAGGGCAGATTTCGAAAGCGGTAGAAACTTCTCCTTTCCTCAAGGCAGGCTAGGCATCAGATCAGATTTTGTCACCCTCGTTACTTCACAAGGCCTCCTTCCTCCAGAGCATGATGGGATCCCTGGCCCCCCAGGGGCTTTGCTGCTGCAGGTTCTGCTCCCAGGGGTGGCCTGGTGACACCCGTCTTGGGGCTGCCCACTCCCGGATGGTCAGGATTATGCACAAGAAGAAACATGCATCTGAATTCAACACAATATGGCTTTCAATTGTGTGTCTGGGGCTGGAGGAAGTAGGGGGAGCCTCCTTTGACCCAGGTCCATTTTTCTTGAAACATTTCTCCAGGGAAATATAGCACACGCTGATAAAAGTGCCCCCCCTCCGAAACTGACTTAGAGACTTACACAACATGAACACCGCCTGAGAAGTGGAACATCACTAGCACCCCAGGTCTTCCACTTTCCTGTGGGCCACACCCCACTCCCTCCTGATGGAGCCCCTAGTTTCACTGTAGTGCTCATTGCTTCTTGCTTTTCTATGTATTTTTGTCACCTGAGCATGCTGCCTTGAGCACTATGACTTTGCACATCTTTTTCTGAAGCTGTTGTTCCATAGAAAATCACAGCCTACTTTCTTGCACTCACCTTCAGGGACCCGCCTGTGCCATGTGAGCCCCGTTGTCTGTAACCTGGAATAGACCAGCTTTGGTAACTGAGCAGGGAGGTGCAGAGTTTGGGCAGGCATAGCTGTGCCCTCCCCCGGCACCAGTGCTTGCATTTTCAGCTGGCATCTCACCCTACAGCCACTTCCCCCTGTTGGGCCCCTCATCCTTGCCCAATCACTTTGTCCCAATATGGGCATTGCAGCATCTCAATGGTCAGAAGGGCTGAGCCATGGCCTGTCTGTTTCTGACAGTCCCCAGCTGCAAAGAAAAGAAGAAAAATAGAAAGGAGAGACGGAGGAAAGCCAGAGAGAACCTGAGTGTAAGACAGGTATTACCAACTTAGGACCCAGAAGCCCTGGAGCCCCACCCCCTCAATTTGTAGATGAGGACATCAGGTTTCAGAATAACAATGCTATGATCTGAATGTTTGTGCCCCCCCCCAAAATGTGTATGTTGAAATCCTAACCTCCAAGTTGACAGTATGAGGAGGTGGGGTCCTTTGGTGGTGATTAGGTCATGATGGTGGAGCCCTCGTATTGGAATTTGTGCCCTTACAGAAGAGACCTGAGGAGTCTGTTCGCCCCTTCCAGTAGTGGGGACACAACTAGAAGGCATCATCTATGAGAAAAAGAGGCCCTCTCCAGACACCAGATCTGTGGGAAACTTGACCTTGGACTTCTCAGCCTCCAGAACTGTGAGAAATAAATTTCCGTTTATTATAAGCCAGTGTATGGTATTTTGTTATTGCAGAAGGAATGGACAAGGGAATTTCCAGAATCATACAGGGGGTCCTGTCCCATGCTCTGCTGTGTACCCAGGGAGACACTTCATCGACCTTGTCTGACCAGGATTGATCGGGCTGGGAAAGAGGAAGCTTGTGTTCATTTCAGGGGGAAGAACTGTCAAATCTCTCCCATGATTTGGGGATGACATTCATTCATGAGTGCATTCATCCACTCACTCAGCAGCCAGGAAGTGAGCATCCATGCTGTGCCTTGAAATTTCCAGGAAAGGAGTGAGTAGGATAGACCCAGTCCTTGCCTTTGATCAGAGCAACATCTGGCTGGAGACAGTCAAGCCACCTGACATTTCCAACGTCAGAGGGTAGGTGGCTGTGACGGGGAGGCACAGACTGGGGAGGGAGGTGTGGGTCTTGCTCTTCTGGCATGGAAGCTGAGTTCTCAGGAAGGAACGGGCAGAGGAGACACAGTGGGGACTCTCAGGCAGTCATTGTGGATGTGAAGGCCCTGGAACCCCAGGAATCCCTGGACTCTCAGGTGCTGTGTCCCCAGCCCTCTCACCCTCCCACTGCCCTGGAGACCCTCGGGCAGCTACCAAGCTCTGCCCCTGTGTTTGACCAACCCCATGTCTGCCCATAGGGGGCGCCCTTCTGCAAAGGACAGACTGGCTCCTGGGGCTGTCCAGGCAAGGGCGATGGTGCTGTCCAAGGGGCGGTGTCGTGTGGTGCTGTCTGTGGTGGTGATGTAGAGTTGAGCCCTCACTTTGGAGGTGTCTGCAGCTCCGCGGAGGGCCCTGGCCACACAGAGCAGGGGCTGTAGGTTGGAGTCAGACAGCCAACATGTCAGATGCGCTGGAGAGAGTGTAGGGCCACCTGGGCGGAGGCACACAGGAGAGGGACAGACTTCTGCTTTTGTGCCTTGTGCGTCTGTCTCCCCTCGGCAACGTCCCATGGACAAGGCCAGGCTGTTGCCAGCAGTCCCAGATCGGAATGTTGGCGCTCTGTGCTGTCCCTCTGCACACACGCTCCCACTTCATCCTCCCGACATCCCCGACTGACCAGGCAGTCCCCTTGCTCAGAGAGAAGAGGCATCTGACACTCGGACAGCTGCGTAACTGTAGGAAGTTGTCTCCAAAGACAACCCCAAACAATCCCACCCCTCCCTACACCAACGTGGCATTTCTGGCATCACAAGATGGAGTTTATTATTACTATTATCTCCCCTTCTTGACCCTGAATTGGACTCACGGCTGCTTTGACAAATACAATATAGAGAAAGAGATGTCCTGAGACTTCTGCAGCTCAGACAGTAAAGAGACCTTGCAGCTTCCATTCCACCGCATGGATCCCTGGGCTTCCGTGTGAGCAATCGGCGGCGCTCTGAAGCAGAGAGGCGCTGCGTGGAGGCGCACTGAGGTTCCAGACATCCAGCTCCAGTTCCGGCCACCATCTCAACCACCCAGACAAGCCGAAGGAAAGCTAGTATTGGGGTGGTTTGATGTGCAGCAATAGGTAATGGAAACAGCAGCTCGCACAAATCACAGCTAATGTGGAAAAGGTAACATTGGAAGTTTACCTGTCCAATTTTCCTACCTGCTGTATTTAAAGGATCACTTTTATTTTTATTTATTTATTTTTTTTTTAGACAGAGTCTCGCTTTGTTGCCTAGGCTAGAGTGAGTGCCGTGGCGTCAGCCTAGCTCACAGCAACCTCAAACTCCTGGGCTCAAGCGATCCTCCTGCCTCAGCCTCCCGAGTAGCTGGGACTACAGGCATGCGCCACCACGCCCGGCTAATTTTTTCTATATATATTAGTTGGCCAATTAATTTCTTTCTATTTATAGTAGAGACGGGGTCTCGGTCTTGCTCAGGCTGGTTTCGAACTCCTGACCTCGAGCAATCCTCCCGCCTCGGCCTCCCAGAGTGCTAGGATTACAGGCGTGAGCCACTGCGCCCGGCCTAAAGGATCACTTTTAAACAGTAGTTGGAAGGCTTCGGTGCAGACACTTGTGAGGTCTTTGTTCTCCATGACGTGACAGGGCTGGAACCACATTTCCCAGACCCCCTTCCCCATTTGCTTTGAGGTCACACAAAAGAACGGGGAAGTTGAAGCTGTGACCACGAGGCTCTGAGGGTCAGTGTAGGGCCAGGTGCTACTGCAGCCCTGCACACTGTCCCTGAGTTGTCAGGTCACTGCACTGGTGAGATGTAATGTCTGCTTAACCGCTGGGCAGCAAGGACGTTGTTGGGGACACAGGCTGGGCATCACGGAGCAGAGAGGCATTGAGTCCTGACACGTGCATTGGTGACACAGGTGGACACAGGTAGCCAAGAGAGTGTACAGTGATGTGCAAAGGATCCAGGAAAGCTCCCTCCCTAATGTCTCTCTCTTCCTAAAATCCCTTTTGGGATGACACAGGATCTCTTTGACCTGACAACTAGAGCCATTTGCCCATCTTCAGACTCACCCAGATCACAAACTGCAGATGCGAGATGTCTTGGCCTCCAAGATCTGTGTGAATCAATCGCTCATAATAAATTCCTGTGTGTGTGTGTGTGTGTGTGTGTGTGTGTGTGTGTGTCCTGTTGGTTCTGTTTCCCTGGAGAAACCCAACTAATACAGGTAGTAAGGGGACAAATAGACTGAGCAAAGTCTCGGGGGCCATATTTCCTACTTTCACAATATTTCCGTGAGAAATGGGAGCCACTGAAGGGCTGTAAGCATGAGAGCCCAAGGGGTGGGGGGACACAGTCACATCTGTTTTCAGGTGTCCACTCTGGCTGCCCTGGGGAGAGTGGGCAGGAGGGGCAGCTGGAGGGAACCAGGAGGGTGAGCAGGAGCCTGGGGTCTCTTATCATCCTGCATGTTGTGGACGGGGACTCCTGTCACTCAACACAGCAGGATCCTCATTGACATTTGTAACCCCTGAGAATGTTGGGCCCAACTTTGCTCACAGTAGGTGATACAAATGCAGAAATTCAGAGCACAGATTTAGGAGCGAAAGAGAACAAATCTTGTGTACAATAGGAAGAAAGTTTCGAATGAAAACTGTATAGTGCTAACAAGGTAACTTTTGAGGGTGGGAGGACAACGTCCTGAAATCTCATCTCCCCATCAGGGCTGGGACAGGGGACAGGAGGGAACAGGGATGGGCAGCGGAGGGGGAGGTGCACACATGGGGAGAGGGGCAGGCAGGACAAAAAGAAGCAGTCAGTGAGGTGTGAGTGGACAGTTTCCAGAGAGAAGCTGAGAGTGATGTCCCATATCTGTCCTCAGGGCTCAGTGTCCACAGCTCATTTCTGTCTGGAGAAGGAGGGGTGAGTCAGGACTCCCAGCCCAGCTCCCCTGGGGGCTCCACACCCACACAGCCAACACAGGTCTCAGATCAGCAGATCACAGTTTGATTCTGGCTCCAGGTGGGTCAGGACAGCTCAGCCCCATCTGGAACTCAGGAACTGATTACCAGGCTATACTGGAGATAGGCAGGTCTGTTCACCTGGTGCAGTAGATCCAAGTGAGGCCATAAATGAGGAGGAAACCAGCCCCCATGAGGGCCCCATGATCACGGTGAGGACCAGGGGGACCCAGGAGCCCTCCTGCTCCACAGTCACACATCTGCAGCCAGAGGAGCCCCTGGGGAAGGAGAGAGGAGGTGAGGATCTGTCCCCAGGCCTCAGCCCCTCCCACAGCCCAAACACCTGACCACACTGCCTCCCCCAGCACCTGCATCTCCATCCTCTACATGGGGCAGTTCCAGACCCTGCTGCTGAGAGCTGGGGAGGATTCAGGGCTTTTCCCTCCCGGGACCAGCTCAGTGCGGCAGGTGGTTGCTGTCAGTCACACAGACCAGGTGCAGGGACTGGCCCCCCTGACAGGCAGGGACGTGCCATTGCTCAGGGTCTTCAGGGCTGGGTGAGCGACAGAGAGAGCAAGAGGCTGAGCTGGGAGGCCTGTCTCTCCCTTACCTCAAATCAAACAGAAACAGAAGACACCTGAGAAGTTCAGTGGTGCTCCTGGGTTGATTATGGTTTGATGGGAAAGTTTCTAGATCCTCATTTCTAGATCCTCACCCCACAATTCCAGGGATGTGGCATCAATTACCCCAGTGTATGATGTTTTCTGGAGCCTGCATGGTCATAGAAAACCATCCGGCTCAATTTTCCTGTGAGTTTGGTGGGCAGAAACCTGACTGTGGGAGAATGATGTGGAATCTCATTCTTCCCATCACGCAAGCCTGGGAGTCCAGCTCTGCTGTGGGTTGGCAGAGACCTTACTCCCAACTAGCCCCAGAGAGAAGAGACACATCTACTATTTTCTCAAAAGGCAATGATGTCCAAGGGAATGGAATGTCTAGGACAGAAACATAACAGTTCCTACTTCACTGTAAGGGGTGGGATGGGTGGTGGCCCTTCCTCCTTCTACAGCCACACAAACAGCAAAGAAAGTGGGTTCTGAAATCCCACCTGTCCTCTCTCCTCAGTGTGGTCCCCAGGAACCAGGCACTAAGTATCTCAAGTCCTTGGATCCCTCCCTATTGTGTCCAGTGTCCTGGGAGACCTGGCCCCACCAAATTCACAGGAAACATTAAGCTGGATGGTTTTCTATGATCACACAGTCTCTAGAAAACATCATACAATAGGGTAGTTGATGCTACCTCCCTGGGATTGTAGGGTGAGGATCTAGAAATGAAGCATCTGCCCAGACCCTTTATTTGCTATGATATAGTGAACTGTCACCTCCTTCTAACCTTACCTTGACACAATGTTTCTGGGGTGCAGATGGAGAAGCCTCAGCACACAAGAGGATACCTATCCTCCCAACACAGATCAGACCTGGTGAGGCCCGGGCAACAGGGATGGTGCTTTCAGTGGTTCTGCTGGGTGCTCAGGGTCAGGTCCTGAGCTCAGATGCTACCCAGCTCTGCCGAGGGATCTGATCCCACAAGCATGGAGCCCAGTCCTTGGGCCAGGAGGGCAGCCATGTAACATGAGCTGGTGGAAAGGTCTGGCTTGCCTGAGATAAAAGGACTTAAGAAGGGCCCGTGCGCAGTGGCTCACGCCTGTAATCCTAGCACTCTGGGAGGCCGAGGCAGGCGGATTGCTCAAGGTCAGGAGTTCAAAACCAGCCTGAGCAAGAGCAAGACCCGTCTCTACTATAAAATAGAAAGAATTAATTGGGCAACTAATTATATATAGAAAAAAATTAGCCAGGCATGGGTGGCGCATGCCTGTAGTCCAGCCTCGGGAGCTGAGCTGGGCAGGAGGATGCTTGAGCCAGGAGTTTGAGGTTTTCTGTGAGCTAGGCTGGCGCCACGGCACTCACTCTCCTGGGCAACAAAAGGTGAGACTGTGTCTCAAAAAAAAAAAAAAAAAGGACTTGAGGAGCAAGCAGACAGTCTCATCGGTGGGCTTGGCTTCTATACGCTCCTCCTCTCTGCCTCTTGGTTCCTCATCAGGGACTTTTCTGGATGTCTGGCTGTCCCTGCTTGTGTAAGGACAGTGAGACTACAGGAAAGACCTGGGTCTAGGATTGAGGATCCTAGTGGGGACCTGGAGGAATAATTATCCCAGGAGAATATCTGATGGACCACATGTAGAGAGGGTGAGACGGGAGGGGGGGGGCATGGACTCACAGGGAAGGGGCCATCAGTTTTAAGAACTAAAATTATTATAGCAAGAAGCATCTATTAACTCTTATTTTACTCACTGTTGTATTTCAGGAAAGATTTTTTAAACTTTTTTCTTTTTTTTTTTTTTTCTGGGTGGTTTATTAGTGAGATTAAACTTTTTTCTGATGAGACCTTTCTAGGTATAATTTATACTTATTAAATAGAATATTTAGCAGATCTCAGAGAAACCAGCTGACTTTCAGTCATCCTGGAGTGTGTCCTCATCTTTCCCACCAGGAGGGGGAGCTGAGAGGACAGTGACCAGGTCTGATTCATTTGTGTCACCAGAACCTAGCACAGGCAGACAGCAGAAGAAAAATTCAAAGGAAACAATGAGCACACATGGACAGAACTGGCCCGTGATGACACTTAACAGTGACCTCACGGAGGTCATCTAATCTGAAAGGAAGGCATAATGGTTTGGGGAAAAAATGGGTGTGGGTTCCCGCTCACAGCATCTCACCTTGGGTGCTGTACATCTCAGTCTTTGGATCTCTGAGGCTCTGGTTCCTTCATCTGCAGAAACTTTGAGCCCTGGTTTTGTGGAGACCTAGGTTTGGAGACCCTCAAGGGTTTCAGTTGCTTAGCCCTGGATATCCAGGCTCCTGGGTATCTGAGTCCTTGGGCTCCCTGGGTCCTGACACTTGAGTCTCCAGGGTCTCCAAGGCCCTTGGGCTTTGGGGCGAGGCGGAGGGTATCCAGATCCCTGTGACTTGCAGATGGAGAAGGTTGTCTCTAGGGTACTGGGTTCTCTCAGCTGCTGGGGTCCCAGGGGTCTGAGTCTTTAAACTCCCTTGGTCTCAAGGGTCTCAGTCTCCGGGCCTCTAAGCTCCTGGGTTAGGGGGAAGAGTCTGAGCCTTTGGACCCTTCCATCCGGAGGGTGTGGGCCTCCAGGCCCCTGGTTCACTGGAACTCTGGGGCCTCCATGACCCTAGGCCCAGAGACTACTGAGTATCAGAGGTCTGACATTCAGATCCTTCAGTCTTGAAAGTCGAGGTCTCTGAGGTCCCTAGGGTCTTCGGATCGTCAAGACTCTCCCACCTGTCCTCTATGCTTTGAGTTCCACCTCCAGCTCCGCGTCAGAGCAGTGGGTGGGTACTCGTTTCACTGCCCCGCATCTGCGCAGTGGACCTCAGTCGCGCCCACTACCCAGAACCAACAGCACGTGCAGAGACCCCCTGCAAAATCGTTGATAGCTGATGCACACGCAGAGACCCTCAGCCCGCAGCCCGCTCTCTCTCCCAATTCGACCTGTACCTGCGGAGTCTCTGCCCTGCGCATGCGCCATCTCCCCATTTTACACTCGCGACCAACCCCTGCACCCCCACCTTTAATTCCCACCTGCAATCCTTTTCTACCTCAAGGTTTGAAAAATTATGCTCTGTAATTCACAAAAACCAGGAAATCAGACTACAGCCACTTCGCCTATCCAGCATCCCGCTGGGGGCGGGGGAAGGCGTGCTGCCATAGCAACCATTGTACACGCAGCTCTGCCGCTCCTGCGCGCAGGCGCAGAAAGGAAACAGAGCAGTGCATGTTGGGAGCTGTAGGCAGAACACGAGGAGGGGCCGCAGTAGTTGCTGGGAGTTGTAGGCCAAGCCGGCCTCGGAGCCACAGGAGCTTCTGGCGGAGCTGCTGCGTGATGTTCTGGAAGTCGTACGTAAGGCAGCCCCAAGGCCTTGTGGGAGTCGTAGTCTCTAAGTCACTTCCGTACTGGGCTTCCGCGTGGCTGGCAGTCCGGACGTCTGAGAACCGCGTTCGGCTCGGGTGAGTATTTTCTCCTGCGTCGGATCGGCCCGTGGGTGGTGACACTCGCCTCTGATTTCCCAGCGCCTGTGGCCCAGAGGCCTTCTGGCTAGGATCCCTACTTTAGACACTGCGGTCCGGCCTGTGTCTTGCCCTTCCAGTTCCTTCCCCCCTGGTCAGGATAAGACCATCTGCCTGCCCGTCCCCATGTCACTCCTTATTCAACCTTTTGACAAAGCTGCAATCCAGAGGCATCCCTAGGGTCCACGGCCTGGCTTCTGGGAGCATTTATTATTCCCTCATCCTGTAGATAGTTACTGAGGACCGACTCTGTGCGAGGCGGCGGGAACGAGGCCAACCCTATACCTGCCTTTAAGAAGCTCTGTAGGGCCGGGCGCGGTGGCTCACGCCTGTAATCCTAGCACTCTGGGAGGCCAGGCGGGCGGATTGCTCGAGGTCAGGAGTTCGAAACCAGCCTGAGCAAGAGCGAGACCCCGTCTCTACTGTGAATAGAAAGAAATTAATTGGCCAACTAATACATATAGAAACAGTTAGCCAGGCATGGTGGCAAATGCCTGTAGTCCCAGCTACTCAGGAGGCTGAGGCAGCAGGATTGCTTGAGCCCAGGAGTTTGAGGTTGCTGTGAGCTAGGCTGACGCCAGGGCACTCACTGTAGCCTGGGCAACAAAGTAAAAGAGAAGAAGCTCAGTGGGAGTGACACCCAGAGTAAGAATCAGGACTGAGATGGAGGCACACAAGCAGCTCTGGGAGCCCAGCAGAGGCACCCAACCCAGTTTGGAGTCCATAAAGTCTCTGAGGGAGAGGCACTTCAAACCTGGTTAACAGGTCCAAATGGAGTTCCTGGTCTTCTTCCTTCACTAAATAGCCCCAACATCCTCCCAAGTACTCAGGCCAAAACCTCAAAATGATCCTTCAGCTCTCTCTTTTATCATCACCCCACCCTCCACTCCACTCCAAGTCTTGTGCAAGTCCTATGGACTCCACCTTCAAAACAGACCCAGAATTTCATTTCTTCCCACATCCACTGCCACCACCCCATCCAGTCCTCCACCATCTCGCTGAGTACTGCCATAGCCTCCTCACTGGTCTCCTGGCTTCTGCCTTTGCCCCTTACAGTCTTCCCCACACAGCAGCCAAAGGAATCCTTTTGAAACCCAAGAAAGATCGTTTCCCTTCTCTGCTCAAAAACCTTCCATGGCTCCTGTCTCCCTGTGAATAAAACTGAAATTCCACATCATGGACCATGAGGCTTCGCCAACTCGTGCAACCTCATCTGCTGCCAGGGCCTCCCTTCCACAGGATGTGGACCCCCAGGACTGGGTGACTAGATCTAGAGGGTGAGATGAGTCCAGGGTGACCTTAAGCCCTGTCCTGCTGAATTGCTGGGTGCTGGTGGCTACTCTCAGAAGACGGAACAGCTGGGCAAGAGCAGGTTTCTGCATTGTGAGGAATAAGTTGTCTGGGCACTTAGCGTCTCAGTTTCTGAAAGGTGCCCCAGAGGGGATCCTCAGTGGCCCATCTGAAGGGCCAGCCTAGATGGACATCAGAATATCATGACTTAGAGGTGCCCACAGGGAGAATGGGCAGGAGGGTGCCGAGCAGGACCTGAGGACATGAAGATGCCCTCCCCGAGAGATGTGAGCAGAAGAAAATTCAGGAGCGCAGATGGAGGATTGAGTCAGAAGTCAAAGGAGAAGAGATTTCAAGGGGTGTTGCTCAGCTGTGAGTCCTGAGGGCTGCTTGCTGGGCTCAGTGACAAAGAGAACAGCCAGTGCAAACACCTGGAGGCAGAAGTGTTCCTCAGGTGTTTGACAGACAGTGGAAGCCAGTGTGGCTGAAGGAGAGTGGGAGGAGATGAGGTCAGAGGAAAAAGGAGCCAGATCCTGTAGGACTCATCAGCCATTAGCATGAACTAAAGTGAGACAAGACCCATGGGAGGATGTCGGGAAGGTACTGGACAGGGCCCCACTGGCTGTTAAGTGGAGAAGAGTATGAAGAGGGGAGATGGGGGCAGGGAGACCAGTGAGGAGCCCCCTCCAAGAGTCCTGGAGAGAGCTGGCCCAGACTAGGTTGGCAGCCGTGGAGATAGTGAGAAGTGATTGGCCATTTTGAAGCTACAAACAGGATTTATTTCATTCTGTTTGGGCACCTGGAGTTTGAGGTCTGAGGACACCTGAGTGGGCTATTCAGAGAAAAGGTCCAGATCTGACATTGCGATTTTGGGAGAGTGACAACAGTTGTGAGAGAGAGAGAGCAGACCAGATCCCAGACCTAAGGCCTCTGGCCAGAGCAGCTGGAAGGACAGAACTGCCCTTTACTCCAGGAGAAACCTGTTTCATTAGAGGAATCAGGAATTTGGGTTTTGAGATGCCTATTAGACATCTGGTCCCTGCCCTTATGGAAATTAGACAGCAAATATACAGTCACGTAAAATCCACATATTGTGGTAAATTCTAGAAGCAGCCTGCTCTGAATGACAAGGAGGCTACTACAGTAGTCCGGGCTGGAGATGACGGGGGCTTGGGGAGGGAGGAACTGAGCCTGGTAAACTTTCATGGCTTCACCACACACGCAGGACCAAGGAGGGTGTGTGTGTGGCTGGAAGGTTAGAGTCCTAGCTGAGTGGGGAGAGGTGAAATGGGAAAGGAGAAGAGATCAGGGTCAAAGGTGGGCTGATCATGTCTTGATGAGGCCACAGAAGCTTGTGGAGGATTCTGATCTAATAGCAGGGCTGAATCCAATCCGGCAGGCCCACACCCCTCACCTCCAAAACAGATGCCCCCCAGCTGGTCTCCCTAGAGGTGTGATCAAGGCTGCCTCTGTGTGTCCCTGGAGGTCACCTTGCCTTTCAGAGGATGCAATTGGGACCCATTCCTGGAGACAGTGACCTATCCCCTAAAGTGAAATCCAATTGGTCTTTCCTGTTTATCCCCATTCCCCTGAACAGCGCTGCAGTCCCCTGGCCTCCGTCTTTAGAGTCACTGGCCCCTCTCCTCACAAGCTCTCTGAACAGCCCGGGAGGCTCAGGTCAGTGACACCCACCTTGTCCCTCTGATCAAGGGTGTGACATGGGTGGCCTCCCTGGAGGCTGTGCAACTGGTCCTTAACAGACACCCCATCCCGTGGACAGGACACAACCTAATTCTGGGTATAACCTGCCTGTCTCTTCCTTTCTTTCCTCCAAAACCAATTCCTTAAGCTCTTTCTCTTTGGTGCATACCGAGTTCAACCCAAGAAGGCTTTCTGGACGAAGTGGCCTTCAGTCACCAGATCCATGTACAACCCTCCTGTCCCCAGCTCCAGAATAAGCTACTCTACGCGCGCAACCTGTCCTTGGACTATTCCTGGCACGGGTGCTATCAAGCACCCCAGCAGCAAAGATCCCGCAATCCGGAATCCACTTGTAACCCACTCCCCTCTCTCCCACTCTAGGAGAAGCCGAGCCCTCCCGCGATGCCCGCCCCACCATGCACCTCCTGCCACGCGGCACGAGCTGCCCTCCGCCGCCCGCACTCGGGACACGCGCTGTGTGGCGCCTGCTTCTGCGCCACCTTCGAGGCTGAGGTGCTGCACACGGTGCTCGCGGGCCGCCTGCTGCCTCCGGGTGCAGTGGTGGCCGTGGGCGCCTCGGGCGGCAAGGACTCCACCGTGCTCGCGCACGTGCTGCGCGAGCTCGCGCCGCGTCTGGACATCTCACTGCAGCTCGTGGCTGTGGACGAGGGCATTGGCGGCTACCGGGACGCGGCGCTGGCGGCCGTGCGTCGCCAGGCAGCGCGCTGGGAGCTGCCGCTCACCATCGTGGCCTATGCAGACCTCTTCGGGGGCTGGACGATGGACGCCGTGGCCCGCAGCACAGCCGGCTCAGGCCGCAGCCGCTCCTGCTGCACCTTCTGTGGGGTGCTGCGGCGCCGAGCGCTGGAGGAAGGGGCGCGCCTCGTGGGAGCCACGCACATCGTGACGGGTGAGCGCAGGTGCAGGCGTGGTGGGCCGGTGTGAGCGCAGACGCGGGGCGCATGCGTGGTGGGGCGCAGGCGCGGGGCGGGCCCTAAAGGAGGACTTGAGCGCATGCCCCGGAAGTGGGAAAGGAGACCACGGGCATGACTTCCGGGGAGGAACCCAGTAAGGAGCTAGGGATATGTGCGTGCTCTTGTTTGGGGCTCACGACACCGGGGGAAAAAGCGGGGCCAGGCCGGGCGTCACAAAGGCTTGGGTCTCGGCCACCATATTGGTCTTTACAGATTGGCAAAGTGGTTGGGGGGTAAAAGTTAGTCTCTGGGGATTATAGCTTTGGTTCTTTACTTATTTTTACTTGTTTCTAATATTCTTGGTGTCTCATGGTCCACTTTTCAGACTCCATCTCTATCTCTGAAAAGGATCTCTGCCTCTTAACGCCTTTTGTTGGCCTCTCCTCTCTTTGATAATTCGTTTTTATTTTCTCTCATCCATTCCTTCAACGAACACCTGCTGAGTTTCTCCTATAGGCCAGATCCAAACTGATTAAGAGCAAAGCTCTTAATCTCTCCGTACTCCTGTTTCCCCATCCCTACACCGGGAATATTAATGATACTCAGGTCATAGACTTGTTATGACCATTAGATGAGTTAGTGGGAGTAGATGTATTTGTGTGTTATCTATTATTATGTATTACATAATATATATGATATATTTTACATGTTTTATATGTGCTATTGTCATCATTACCAGGCTAGGGCTGAGAATACAGTTATGTACAAGTTCCTACCTTTACATGGTTCTCAAATATAAAATTATAAATGCTCCTAAGTGTTACTGCAGAAAATTACACAGACCATGTGTGCAAAGAGAGACCCTTGTGACATGGTGGGAGGGAGTCAGGGAAGTCTTTGAGATCTGAAGGCTCAAGGTGAAGAGGTGCATGGGGGTAAGGACTGGGGTAGGGTTGTTGTTGGCCTGTGCAAAAGCCACTTTGAGATGCCCCAAGTAGCACAGTGTGGCTGGAGCCCAGAGAGCAAAGAGAGGTGAGGCTAGAGGTGGACAAGTTCAGACCTTACCCCTTGGGCAGTGGGGGAACCAGTGAAAGTGACATGAAGAGAGTTTCAAAGGAATGGAACTTTGACAAGCTCCCCCTGGCCATGGTGAGGAACCTAGGAGGAGCAAGGACATAGCCAAGGACACCAGTTAGGAGGGAGACAGCTGTGGTCATCTAGGTGAGAAACAATGATTGTAGGAAACAGGAGAGAATCAACACATCCGAGGAGTGTGAAGACAAAGGTACCTCTGGGACTCTCTTCTCCCACCTTGCTAGGGCACAGACTCTAGGAGAACCTTGGACAAATCCCAGATCTCTGAGCCTTAGCTTCCTCTGGTGGAGAAGGAGAAGAATAATCCTTTCTGCACAAGAGCAGTCTGTATGGAGGAATGAGGTTGTCTTGGGTTTTAAAGTTAATTTATTAGACTCACTTATTAATTGTACTTATAAAAATAATGAAAGCATCCAGAAAAATCCCTAACTTATAAAGTGATTTTTACCCTTTGTTTATATACTCTATTTTTAAAGGCATATTATAATAATAATTGTAATAATTATTACAAAATCAGGGAGCTCTTAAGTGGGTTTGTAATGACAAGGTGTGGAGCAAATCCAGCCTCCTGCAATTAATGTGGCTTACAGCTTTAAGTCAACAGACACAGCTCTTGGATGATAAACATTTAACTAGATACAGTTTCCATTGACTGGTCTCAAGGTCACAGGCCTTTCTGGAAGGTCATTATTACTACAGTCAAAATTAAAGCAAAGTTCTTGGTGGGTTTTACTATGTACACTGGGGGTTTCTCAACTTCAGCCCTATTAACATTTGAGGCCAGATAATTTGTTGTTTGGAGGCTGTCCTGTGCATTGTAGGATTTCAGTAGCATCCCTGGCCTCTACCCACTAGATGCTCATAGCAATTCCTCCCTACCCACCCCCATGACAGCCAAAAATGTCTCCAGACATCGCCAAATGTCTCTGGGGTTAGGGAAGGAGGAGAAAATCACCCAAGGTTGAGAACCACTGATATAGCCTCAAATATAACTTGACAAGACACAGGAAAAGATTTATGTGTAGATATTTCTCACTGGTCTTTCTTAACAAAGATAACACAGAAACACTAAAGTCGGGGGAAAAAAAGATAAAAAAAAGAAACACTGCAGTCTGTGTTGTCAAGAACCATTCCTTTTCCATGGCTGCTGTAGCAAATTACTACAAGTTTCGTGGCTTAACTCAAATTTATCATCTTGCAGTTCTGGAAGTTAGAAGTCCAGCAAGAGTCTCACTGGACTAAAATCCAGGTGTCAGCAGGGCTGCCTCAGGAGTGGGCAGGGGATCCATTTCCTTGCCTTTTCAACCTCTAGAAGCAGCCCACATTCCCTGGCTCCAGGCCCCTTCCTCCACTTTCAAAGCCAAGAATGGCAGGTTGAGTCCTTCTCATTTCGCTTTGCTCTGACCTTACTTCTGTCCTCACTACCCCCACTCTGACTCCTCTGCCCCCCTCTTCCACACCAAGGATTAGAAGTGATCAGATTGAGCCCCCCTGGATGGTCCAGGCTACTCCCCCAGGTAGTTGGCTGGTTAGCAACCCTAACTCCACCTGCAACTTAAATTCCCCTTGCCCTGTAACCAAACATATTCACAGGTTCCCAGGATTAGCACGTGGACACCCTAGGGGTGGGGGAGAGAGTAGCCTGCCTACACCAGCTATCTTGAGAATCTTTGTTAAATGCCATTTTGACTTTTGTGCACAGTTTGAATTACAGTTTTACAGTTTTTCCTGAGGCGGAGAAGGTATTAGCAGCATAAAGCACTTTACTCCCTGTGTGTAGGGGCAGCTAGCATAGGTGTGGGATGCAGTAGGTCGGTGTCAAATGAGGGTACCCCCAAGTTGCTCCAGGGTAGCTTGTGTGTGTCTCCCTCTGGTTCTTGCTATGTCCATCTCCAGCCTCCACCTGGCTGCTCTATGATGCTCCGGGGGTCTATGGCTCACTGTCCCCATCCCTGTCTCTCTCTGGGTCCTGGCAGCCCAACGGTGCCCAGGTGGCTCCATGGCCAGCAGTGCGCTCCGCTCTCCACCTCACCTGCTCCCGTCTCTCCCCCACCAGGTCACAATGCTGATGACATGGCGGAGACGGTGCTCATGAACTTCCTGCGGGGCGACACGGGGCGGCTGGCCCGGGGCGGGGGCCTGGGCTCCCCTGGCGAGGGGGGCGCCCTGCCGCGCTGCCGCCCGCTGCAGTTCGCGTCGCAGAAGGAGGTGGTGCTGTACGCGCACTTCCGCCGCCTGGACTACTTCTCCGAGGAGTGCGTGTACGCGCCCGAGGCCTTCCGCGGCCACGCGCGCGACCTGCTCAAGCTCCTGGAGGCGGCGCGGCCGTCGGCGGTGCTGGACCTCGTGCACTCGGCCGAGCGCCTGGCGCTGGCCCCGGCCGCGCTGCCCCCGCGCCCCGGCGCCTGCTCCCGCTGCGGGGCGCTGGCCAGCCGCGCGCTCTGCCAGGCCTGTGCCCTCCTGGACGGCCTGAACCGCGGCCGGCCCCGCCTGGCCATCGGCAAGGGCCGCCGGGGGCTGGACGAGGAGGGGGCGCCTCGGGATCGGGCCCGGCCCCCTGCCTCAGAGGCCATCCCCGCCTTCTAGCGACCCCAGGTCTCCGGCTGGGATGCGACGTCCCGGGGAGGGGCTGCCTGTACATATGCTGTGAATAAAGCCGAGTTTCTCTGCCGGGCCTGCCATGTGGGGTTGGGAGGAGGACAGGGACCCAGTGACCTGTAACCCTGCAGAAGCGGGGGCCCCAGACGTCTGGGTCTGGGGGAGCAGGGTTCTCGGGGTGGGCTGCTGGGACTGAGGGAGGAGGGAGCCGGTTCTAGGTCTGGGGGAGGTGGAGCTGGGGTGACAGACTCCCGGGACTCAGGAAGGGGTTGGGAGGGGTCTAACAACTTGTGGTTCCCGACTTAATGGGACTTCAGGGGCTGCCTGCCTAGTGCCTCTGCCGGGTTCTGGGCATGCTCAGGATGGTCCTAGCCCGCCTTGAGCACCACGTGGCTGCTGTTTCCTGTTTGCCTGCAGTCACATGACTTGATGGGCACAGGTCACTCACAGTTACCTGCATGATGCTTCCCTCCCAGTACAGCGGGCACTGCAGACTGACTTGTCCCCACCACGACCTCACAGGCTATAGCCTGAGACGTGGCAAATGGCCCCAGGTCACCCAGCTGGGAGGTTGGGCCTTTCAGAGGTCTCTGGGATTGTGGAATTGCCCCTCCACCACCTGACTCTCTCCTGGTGTCTGTCATGGCTGAGGGGCTGAGCGGGCTTCCCAAACCCTGGGCCTTTGGAGACAGAGCTGTGTGAGCCTGGGTTGGTGACTTAACCTCTCTGATCTTCCATTTTCTCTTCTAAAAATGGAATAAACAACATTCCTTACCATCAAAGCACCATTGGGAGGAAATGGAAGATCAGAGAGGTTCAGGTGGTCAGTACATGGTGGGAGACTTGGCTGTTCATGTTATGGTTCGGCCACCAGGGGGCTCTGGGTTTCAGGGTTGCTGCCTCCTAGGTCCTGGAGGTGAGGCCCAGAAGTTTCCTCTGGAGACCTGGTGTTCTCAGTCCCATCTTCGGCTTTGCTGGGCTGACTGCTTGTCAGGAATCCCCCACCTTCCCATCATCCTGCTCAAGTCCTCCAGGGTCCTCCTAGAAGCCTTCCCTGATTCCTCCCACCCCACCCAACCCAGGGCACAGTTCTTTCCCAAACCCCCACTTTTCCGTCCTGTCCTCACTGTGTGGACATTCGAATTCTTTGAGTCTCCTTTGTCCTAATTATTAGTAGATTGGGCAGGAGAGCCTGAACCAGATGCCCTGCCTCCCCTGTGGGGTGACGGAGCATCAGGTTAATTATTCGTTCAACAAACGTTTACTGAGAACTTCCTCTGTGTCAAGTACTCCTCTAGGTGCTAGGAACATGGCAGTGAACAGGAGACAAAAGTGAACATGAAGTTCACAGTCTGAGAGAAATGGACAATAAGCAAATAAATATAAATGTCAGGTAGTGTTGAATGCTACAAATTTTTAAGGGTCAGGATAAGGGAAAAGAGGGAGACAGAGACAATTTCCATAGGAACTAGGGAAGAAAGGGCCTCAGAGGAGGCAGCATTGTGCAGAGACCTGCACAGAGCAAAACAACAGATCATGAAACCATCTTGGGGAAGAGCTTTCCAGATGGAGGGACCTGCCAGTGGGAAAAGGCGGAAGTAAGCGTGGCAAGCCCAGGGGACAGCACGGAGTCCCGTGTGGCCAGAGCAGAGTGGGCAGGAGAAGACTAGAAGGAGATGAAATGAGGCTTGGACAGGGGTGGTCATGCGTGTTCTTGTGGAGGCAAGAAGGGCTTGGATTTTATTGCAGGTGTGATGGTAAGTCTTTGGAGGGCTTTGGTCCCAGGAGTGGATCCAATTTTCATTTTCTGTAATAAAAACTACTCCAGCTCCTGTGAGGAGAATGGGCTGTAGGGGGCGCAAGATGATCAAGGTCGATTGTATGGGATGATGTTTGTGTGGCAGGCACTGTGCCAAGCGCTCCTTCCCCAGTAGCTCAGAGAAGTGAGGAGTGGATTTTTTATCCCCAATTTTATGAAGGATAAACTTGTGGCCCAGAGAGGTGAAGTAACATGCCCAAGGGCTCACAGCAACAGATCGGGAAAGGAGCTGGGACCCTTGACCCTTTTGCTCTGCCGTCTGCTGGAAGCCAGGGGACCTGGGTTCTTGTTGCAGATGTGCCACTAAATTCCCATGTGGCTTTGGGCAAGAGACCTTTTCCCTTCTGTTCAATAGTGTCTCCCTCCAAAGGAGGCGGTGGGAGGTTGGTTAGATTTCTGTTGTGGTTTCAAGCAGCACTATCCAATAGAAATAAAATGCAAACTATATGTATGACTTTAAAATTTTTGGTCAGGCACAGTGGCTCATGCCTGTAATTCCAGCACTTTGGGAGGCCAAGGCAGGAGGATCACTTGAGGCCAGGAGTTCAAGGCCAGCCTGGCCAACATAGCAAGACCCACATCTCTTTAATATAAAAAATTTTTTCTAGTAATATTTCTAAAGGAGGGAGACTGGTGAAATTTTAATAATAAATTTTATTTGACCCACTATGTGCAAAATATTATAGTTTTAACATGTAATCAATATTTTAGAACTTTGAGTTTTTTAGGTATCTTTTTTCATATAAAGTTTTCAAAATCCAGTGTAGATGTTACACTCACGGCCCATCTCAATTCAGATTCCCCACAGTTCCGTCCCCACACACGACTCGTGGCTGCTCTACTGGACCGTGCAGGTTTGCAGCGTGCATTACAGAGCCAGACTGCCTGAGTTTAAGACCAAGCTCTGCCCCTTGATCCATGTGACCTTGGGCAGGATGCTCATCTGTACGATGGGGGGACGATGACACTTCCACCCTGTGGTTACTGTCGGTAAATACAGTACACATGAGCGCCTCGAAGAGCAGCCGGGTCAGTTTAGTGTGCATTCCTTGTGCGCTCACTGCCTTCCTCACCCGGGCCTCCTCAGAGCTGGGCAAGGTGCTGTTCTCAGCTCTGGCCACAAGGGGCCACTGTAACCACACTGCATCAGGTGGCCGTAGCTGGCGAAGCCAGGTCTCTTCTTCCCGGGCCCAGATAGGGAGCTCAGCTCTCTCCCACCTGCCCCCTGGTCTCTGAGCCAGTCCTCAAGGATGAGAGACAGCGTAGGTCTTAAGGCTCCGTATAAACACTGGATACTCCTTAACCTCAAGACCCCTGTGTTCATTCACTCATTCAATAAATACTTAGGGAGCACGTAATTTGTGACAGCAGTGAACAAAACAAAAACCTATTTTCAGCAGGGCGCAGTGGCTCACGCCTGTAATCCTAGCACTCTGGGAGGCCGAGGCAGGAGGATCGCTCGAGATTAGGAGTTCGAGACCAGCCTGACCAAAAGTGAGACCCCCGTGTCTACTAAAAATAGAAAGAAATCATCTGGAAAACTAAAACATATAGAAAAATGAGCTGGGCAGGTGGCACTTGCCTGTAGTTTCCCAGCTACTCGGATGCTGAGGCATGGAGGATCGCTTGAGCCGGAGTTTGAGGTTGCTTGTGAGCTAGGCATGACACCACGGCCTCCTTAGCCCGGCAACAGAGTGAGACCTGTCTCAAAAAAAAAAAAAAATCCTATTTTCATAAGAGACAAAAAAAAAAGAAAGAAATATCAGTTGCATATATAGTATGCCAGATGGTGACAGAGGGCTGGGGAGGGTGTCACATATATTGAAGTAGGGTGGGTAGGGAAGGCCTCGGGGAGAAGGACACATTCATGCGAAGACCTACACAAGGTGAGGCAGAGAGCTCTGTAGATTGGCAGGAAAAGCATTCCTGGCAGGGAACAGCCAGTGCAAACTCTGAGATTGCAGGAAAAGGCAGAAGGGGTGCATGAAGGAGGGAGAGAAGAGGTAGGGGTCAAACAGGCTCGGCTTGGTTTTCAGTACTATAGAGCATGGAGGATTTTTGAACAAGAGGAGTGACAACGATCATTCCTTTATTCACGCAGCAAACATTTCCTGATGCCTCCCAGGAGCCAAGGAGCCCTGCGCGGGGCAGTGGGGAAATAGAGCTGAGTCAGCCCAGTCCCTGCCCTCGGTGGGCTCCCTGTCTGCTGGGGGAGGTGGGCAGGGACAGCGGCAAGTCAAGACCCAGCAGGATACGTGTCACCGTGGGGTTAGGAGGGACACAGGGGAGCCAGAGGTGGGGTGTCTAACCATTCCAGGTGCGTCATGGAATGGTTCCTGAGGAGTCAGTGTTCAAACCAAGACCCAAAGGTGAGTAAGAATGAGCACAGGGAAGGGTGACAGGGACAGCAGGCACAAAGGCCTTCGGGCACAGGAACACCGTGTCCCTGGGAGGAACTGCTGCTCCTAGAGCAGGACGCAGGGTGGGTCCCCGTGAAGGGTCACAGTGCCCTGCTGGGCGAGCATCTGTCTGGGCTGATGGGGCGAAAGATCCCTCAAGGGCCATGTCCAGGAAAGAGTGGAGGGGAAGCTTGAAAGCCAGGAGGCCGGGGAGAAGGCTGGGGTGACATCCAGGCGTGGATCCAACAGCCAAAACTTAAGGCAGTGGCAAGGGCATTGAAGGGTGGGAAGAGACGTGAAGGCTACTTAAGAAGCCCTCACTTAGAGCCGGGGGTCCTACTCAACACTAGAATATGTTGCATAATCCTTAGAAGCTCCTGCAGGAGCTCAAATATGGTGCAAATCCAAGGGAAGTCTGTCCTAAGCAGAGAGACTAACAACAATAAAGATGTTTGTCCCTTAGGCAGGTGGCCGCGGTAAGCCCAGGAGACTCTGGCTGAGAAGGAAGCATAGTAAACATGGGAGGCCGGGAAGGGGACAGCTGAGGCTGGAGGCCCTGGTCATCGTGGTGGGGGTGGCTTGCTGTGGTCTATGGCCTTGCCAAACACAGCCCTACAGAAACACAACGGACGTTTTTATTCTTACTGGTTGTGACAGTGGATCTGTGAAATTCCAGCATTCCGTCCCCTGGGATCGGAAGCATTTTCTTCCCTGGCCGGAATCTGGAGCTCAGTGTGAGAAAGATGGGCTTCCCGCATCTTCCATCTGTGTGTGCTCTCCAGGGCTGGGTAATTGGAGGTCACTGTCAAGGCTGAAGAAGAGGCGTTGGGTGCAGAGTCTGGACAGAACCGGGCTCCAAGGTAACCTCACTCACTCGGCCTGTTTGCCTAGAGCCCCTGCCAAGTGCCAGGCACCAGACTGGGCACCAGGGATCCAGCAGTGAACGAGATGGACAAGGTCCCTGCCCTCATGGAGCCTCAGTTCTAGTAACAGAGGTGTTTCTTTGTTCCACAAATGTTTACTGAGCACCTACTATGTGCCAAGGCACAGATGCAGGTCAAGCAGGTGAGAATCTCTGCCCTGTTGGAGCTGACAGTCAAGCTGTGGGAGACAGATTACACAGAAGAGTAAGAAAGTCAATAAATAACACACAAGGGAGGTCTGACGGTAAGTGCCACAGAGAGAGAAAATAAACAGCAATAATAAACAAGGAGGCAAACACGTAAAGCAATTATGGATTGAAATAAGGTGTAGGAAGGAAACCAGCACAGGGCTGAGACAGAAACTAGAAGGGAATGTCAACTCCAGAGAAGGTGATCCGGAGGTGACCTTAAAGCTGAGATTTGCATGATGATCATGGGCAGAGTGGCAGGAAGTGTGTCCCAGGCAGAGGGAACAGCAAAGGCTAAAGCCATGAGGTGGGGAGGCCCCTACCATGTGGAGAAAATCAAAGAAATACAAGAGGCTGAGTCACAGTACATCCAGGGGTTGATGAGGTTGGAAAGATGGACAAAAACAAGACACAGAGTGCCTCCCGGGCATTTGGGTTTTATTATAATTGCACGGGGGACTCACAGATGAGTTTTTAAGCAGGCTTTAACATGATGCTGTTTCACATTTTACGAAGATGTTGGCTGCTGAGTGGAGAATGGATTTGGCATGGGAGGGAGGGAGGGAGGGGTCAGGGGTCGAGCATGGAAGCAGCCAGACCAGTTCCGATGCTGTTGCACCTGTGCAGGCGAGAGATAAAGGTGGCTTGGAAGAGAATGGCTGAGAAGAGATAAGTGGGTGGATTCTTTGCCTTCTATTTTGGAGCTAAGGCCACAAGAACTGCCAAAGTGGGAGATGAGAGCAAGGGAGGGATAAGGAACCCTCCCAGCTTTGACTCAGCAGCTGGGGAGAGGACGCTAACACGGGGAAGAGTGGGGGGATGGTGGGGCAGAGGCATTCCTGGGCTGTCGACCGAGCATCAGGAACCCCGAGGTGTGTACATAGCACGTAGCAGATCTAGGTGCTGACCACAGGTGTCTGGGAGATTACCCAGAGAGCGATTGGATAATCAGAGAGACACTCGAGACCAGCAGCAGAGGGAAATCGAGTCAGGTGGGCTGGGGAATCCCAGCTCTACCACGCGACACTGGACAACTGACCTCATTTGTCTCCATCCCCTTGTCTGCAAATGGGTGTCATTGTGTGCACCCCACAGAATGAAGTGAGACATGGCACACGGTAGGTGCTAGAAAAACTGCCAACCAAGAGCCATCACGACACAAGGGAAGTCAGAGGCGCAGGTCTGTTTGCTCATTCCACAAACATTCATTGTGTGCACGCCCGTGCCAGGCTGTGCAGAGTGGTGTGGTGTTTAACAGCCAGATGATCTGGGTTCAAGTCCTGACTCTGCCACTTGCACAAGAAGATACTTCTAAGGCCTGGTTTCCTCACAGGTAAGGTGATGCTAATGAGTCCCTAACCCCTAAGGGCTTTCCTGAGGATTAAATGTGACTTGGCACATTTGGCAGCCTGCCTGATTGTGTTATGCGTGGAGACAGAGCCAGTCATTGGCCGACGCAGGGAGTTGTAGCCGGTGGAGAAAGGACCCCCTCCCCTGCCGCCGCAGCCTCCAAGGGCCATGACCAGCACGTGGCCAGAGACCACCTTCCCTGCCAACCGTTCCCACAGTCGCGCCCGGCCACTATCCCCACGCGGAAGGGCCCCACCTCTGAAACCACAAAACCCCACATCCCACACCCTGGCCACGGCCTCCCATGCTTCCCGGGCTGGGGGTGGCTCCGCCGTTCCTGTTCTTCCACCTCAAACGCACCTGCCCCTCTTCACGCAGCCTCCCCGCGCGAGCCCCGCGTGCCCTCACCTGCCGCACCCCGCAGCCCGCCCCACGCCGCGGGCTCCGCGCTGTCGCGCCGCCACCAGCCCTGCCTGCGCCCTACTGGGCCTGCATCCCGCCGCAGTCGCAGGAAAATCAAAGTCACCCGGCCGCCAGACGGTGCCCCTTCCAGGCACGATCGCCCACTTCCCTGGACGCCCCCGCCGCCACCCGCGGCTTTCCCAGCCCCGCCCGCCCAGGTGCCCGGGAGAGGAGCCGCCACGGCCTCCCGGTGGAAACAGAGCCGCGGGACCCACACCCCACCCGCGCCTGGCCCGCCCTTTCCTCCTTCCTCCCTGGAACAATGGCAGAGGCGTCTTTCCCCGAGTCTGGGGCTAATCCCACCGCGCCGCCAGTTGCACCATCCTCCCTTTGTTCCCGAACATTCCGTGCGCTGCGGTTAGCAGCCCTCCGCCTGGGTCCCAGTCGCGGCGCCCCACTTAGCGTTGTGCAAACCCCGGGCGAGGGGCCAGCCTCGGTCCCGGCTTCCTGCTCTGCACGATGGGTATCATAACAGTCCCACGGGTGCGCGAAGTTCTCACGTGACCGGGGAAGCATCAGTGAGTTATGTGAAATGAGTTAAAACACACAACAAATCGTTGCGCAAATGAAATTGGGGTAGCCGCGCGGGGCCACGATGGAAGGAACAGTGAGGAGTGTGGAGCCGAGGTTCAGGCAGACCTGAGTCTGTGCGCTGCCTCCTGCGCTTACGAGCTGGGGGACCTTGGACAAGCCACTTCCCCTCGCTCAGCCTCAGCTTCCCAGTCTGTAAAATGGGGACATGATAGTGCCTCTCCTGTGGAGTCCGGACTTTCCATGACCTCGCTGCCACTATCCATCGTCTCTTCTCCGCGCTCCTTCACTCGCCCCTTCCCACCTCAGGGCCTTTGCACTTGCTGCTCCCTTTCACAGGCCCTCATGACATGTGATGTCATATATCTGACTTATTTGCTTTTTCTTCCGGAACATGACCATCAGAAGGGCAGCGATTTAGGGGGGAGAGTCTATTTTGTTCCTTACTGCACTCCATTGCCCAGAGCCATGGCAGATCCATAGCAGGTGGGCAGTGAGGATTTGTTGAAAGGAGGGGTGGGCCGCTAACCCACAAGAGGGCTCAGCGGGCAAACAGAATGTGATCTGTGCGTAAGATGGGCTATCATTCAGCCTGATTCTGACACATGTTACAACATGGACGAATCTTGGGGACACTAGATTGAATTAAATCAGCCAGACACAAATGGATAAATACCGTATGATCCCATTTACGTGAGGCACCCAGAGTAGTCAAATTCACAAAGACGGTTGGTATGTTAGTGGTTGCCAGGTGCTGCGAGGAGGGCAAAATGAGGAGTTGGTGATAATGTGTGCAGAGTTTCAGGTAAGTTCAAATAAAAATAAAAAAAAAAAAAAGACTTAGCACAGTGCCTGGCTGTGCTGAGCGCTCAATAAACATGAGCTATTGTTTTGTTCTAAGTATCATCCAGTTGTTCCTTGCTCATAAACGGCCTTCGCTGGCCAAACAGCCCTTCTCCTCCCCCTCACGCCCAAGCAGTGTCTGCGCCTGTGGTCTCCACCCACGCCTGGCTTCCGCCCCGCCACACCACCAAAAAGCTTTGCCTCCAAGATGGCCAGTCACCTCTGTCTTCCTCCCAGAGGCATGCAACCACCCTGCCACTCCCTCACCCCCTCACTAAAAAATGATCTTGATTTCCCTGACGCCACTCTTTCCTGGTGTCCCTCCTCTCTCTTCAATTGTTCTGTCTAATCCCTGGGGTAACCTCTTCTCACCCCCTAAGCTGTGAGTCTTCCATGGGGTCTTCTCTTCCAGTGCCACCTGTGCCAGGGACGTCACCTCCCACACAGAGGGGTTCATTCGCCTGGCAGCTATCAAGTCAATAGACACAGCCAAGTTGGCTATAGCACAGGGGGTTTTATTACTTGGCACAACTAAGGAGCACCCTGGGAATAATTCCCAAAGCAGTGTGTCCCCAAACAAGGGGGGTGGGCTGCTTTTATAGCCAGAGGGTCATGAGGCATGACCTGACCGGATCCCGCCAGGGGGCTGGTGCCAGGGGGCAATCTGATGGGATGCCGGGTCCTGCCATGTGGTGTCCGTCTCTTAATTCAGTCCCCGTGCAGCCTCAGTCTGAGCATTTAGGTTCCGCCCATGGTTGTACACTTGGTTCATCTGGGCATGCTCAGGTTGTGTGACCTTCATCCTTCAGGGTCCACAGCAACTGAAAAACAGCTCACAACTGTGTTACTTAAAAGTTAAGCCAGATTGGTCTGGTGCAGTTACAGTAACGCCCCACCACCGTCTCTGCCCGGGCAGCTCGCCTCACCTTCAGAGAGTCCCCAGCCAGTGTCCTGAGGACTCCTCTCTCCCCATCTCACTCGTCTCCCCTGTTCCCCACCCTCCCACTTTGGGAATCTCTGACCCCCTCTCTAGGTCTGTGCCCTCTCTCTGGGTCTTCATCTCTTTCTCCATCTCTGCAGGGCAGGTGTTAGGGACTGCCAGTTCTGGCACCAAACCCCCTCCCCAGTGGGGTCCCTGCTCCCTCATCTCTCAGGACTATGAGTGTCCCAAAGTGAGAAAGCAAGGTGGACAGCACCGCCCCAGCGCCAGGTGACTCCTGCTCCATCTCCTGCCCATTGTCCGGCCCCATCGCTGCCTCTCCATCTCTTTCTGGTGCTGTCCTCTCTTACTCTACCTCCCTGTCCCCTTTGTCTGTGTCCCCGTCACCTGTTGTATCCACTGCTCCCCTGACTCCCCACTGCCATCCACCTCTTCTCGACCTTCCTCCTTCCCTTCTTCCTGTGCGTCATGTTTCCTTCAAAGGCTGATCTCTGCACCTCATTCCATCCTCCTCATCATCATTGCTTTTATTGTGGGTATGTTTGCAAGTGTGCGGCAGGCTGGGGGGATCTCTGGCTCTTTTCTCTCTCTTCACTGTTTTCTCTTTCTTTGTGTCTGTTTCTATTCTCTCTTCACCTTCCTCCCCCTGTTTTTCTGCTTTTCCACACTCATCTCTCTGTGCCTCCCTCTGTCTTGTTTTTCTATCTGACTCCTGTGTTCCCATCGCATTTGCCTTTCTTCTCTTTCTCCATATCTCTTCTCAATTCCTTCTCCCTTTGACAGATCTCCCTGTGTGCCTGTATTTCTTGGACTCTCTGTCTGTCTGTCCACCTTACTTCTCATCCCCATTTCAATCTCCTCCTTTCTCTCTCTCTCCTTTCTTTCTCTCTCCCTCTCCTCCCCCACCCCTGTCTCTCTTTCCTCCCATGGCCGCCTCTCTTGGTTCCTCTATTCTTCCCTCTTTCAGCCCCTCCCAGCACCTCCCTCTGACCCCCAATTTTCTCAATCCACACCACAGCTGAGACCCTCCCTGCCCTGAGGTCCCCCTCCCTGGATTCCTTCCAGATTATAACATCTTCACCAGGCAGGTTCTCATTAACAATTGTGGCTGCTTCTCTGGCCAGAGAGGGGAGGGAGGGGATGGGATTAGGGAGTCCTGGAATGGGAACTAGGCAATAAAAAAAATATATATCAGGAGCAGGGCGGTGGGGGGCAGGGCCAGCTGCCTAGACCAGGGATAAAAGGCTTTGCCAGCATGACTGAGAAGAGAGACACCACCCCTACTTCCTTCACACGCCAAGACATCAAGGACAGATCTGCGCCCTGCTCAGCATCCTCCCTGCTGCCATCTGAGGAGCCCCCAGGTCCCACTCTCTTGCTCTCTGGCCTCTACCTCCCTTTCCTGTCTCCATGTCTCTGAGGGTCTTGGTCTCTGTGTGAGTGGCTCCCGTTGTCTCTGCCTCCCAGCCCCTGGGTCTCTCACAGGTTCCTTCTCTCTCCCGTACTCTTTGCCCTTGCCAGAACCAGCCCCCCAGGATGTTCCTCCTGCTGACAGCACTGCAAGTCTTGGCCATAGGTAAGAGAACAGTGGAGTCTGAGGCAAGGGGGTCCCCTGGAGACTTGGCAGAGAGATGGGGAAGGGTCTTGGGGATGCAGGATGCTCATGGGTGGCCTGGTGAGAAAGAGCAGGGAATAGTTTGGGGGTCGTGGCCGAGGAGCACGCTGGAGGCTTGAGTTCTGAGTTGTGGATTCACTAGGAAACTGTGGGGCTGGGGAGAGAGGCAGTTATAGGAGGTGGGGAGAAATGAGGAAGGGATTGTGGAGAACTATTGGGTCCTGAGTGGGTCACATGAGCAGAAGGGCCACAGGACCCTCCTTGACTGTGCTGGGGGGGGGGAAACAATACAGGGAAGATGGCTTGTCTGAGGGAAGGCGGAGGATGACCAAGGTGGGTACCATGGCAGGTTGGTGTGGTGGACGGAGAGAGTGAGGGTGAGATGGTGGATCCTGGGGGGTCTCACTGGGTGGGGAGGTTGGGGAAGAGACAGGGAGCTCCTTGGCTGTGTTGGGGAAGGACTAACGGAGGACATGTGGGAGTCAAGGGTTGTAGGCAAGGCCTACAAGGTGCCACATGAGGTGGCCGTGGGACAAAACAGTAGATACTATGGAGGTGGCTTGGGGGTCGGCAGAGAACTCCCTGATTGTGTTGGGGCAATAACGGGAGCAACGTTGGACATACCTCACACTGGGCAGGGCAGGCAGCAATGGGCAGTTTGGGGGTTAGACCAAAAGGAAGGTGACTTGTCAGTTCTGGACAGTTGGAGGGTGGAGAGCGTTTCCTCCTGTGCTTTCCCCACCCCACCCCACCCCATCTACTCCTAGGCATGACACAGAGCCAAGAAGATGACAACAAGATAATTGGTGGTTATACGTGCATCCAGAACTCACAGCCATGGCAGGTGGCCCTGCTGGCAGGCGCCGGGCGTCGCTTCCTCTGTGGAGGAGCCCTGCTTTCAGACCAGTGGGTCATCACCGCTGCCCACTGTGCTCGCCCGTGAGTGACCCCCACCCCTATTCTTGCGCTAAGTGAGTTCCAGAGTCTAGAGCCCCAGAGCTCAGCTGAGGACCTGGAGCTCCGTGTGGAACCCAGTGTCATAGCTGGATCCTGGTTTGGGGTCTAGAGAAGAGCCTAGACACAGCTCAGGATGTGGAATCTACCCATAAATATTGAACTCAGTTTAGATTCTGAAGTCACATCAGCAGCTTAGAACCCATTGGCCAGCTAAGAACTTAGCACGTAACCACGAGACCCATCCAGAGGTCAAGCTTTTCATGGAGCCCAAGATTAGCCCATTCCAGATTGATGATTGACTCAGGGCACAGTCTACATTCCCAAACTCAGAACGCTATCTAGCACCCAAAGCCCAGTTCAGAACCTGCAGTGTAGCCATATATCCAGAACCCCACTTACAAGTGGAACATACAGCTGTAAGAATAGAAACAGAACCTGGAGTCCATTTCAAATCAAAGTTTATTCAGAGTCTAGTCTATAGCTACTCTTTGAGTAGCCTAGAACCCAGACCTCAACCCAGAGTTTAAATCTCGGAATTGTAGATCATAATCTAAAGTCATATATAAAATCCAGAGCCCTTTCCAAATTTTAGACATGAATTCCAGCCAAGAAGTCAAAGCTCACACAATACCTTCAAGCCAAATCTAACGCCATGAACTCAAGTTTAATCTAGATCCTAGAGACCACAGCTCAGCCCAGCATCTAGAACATAAAGCCCAGAGTGCAAACCAGCCTATAGAATCTTGGATCTAGGTTGTAAACTAGAGCACCATCCAGAACCCAGAGTCCAACCTGAGGTCAAGGGCTCAAACCAGAATCTAGAGTGAAGAGTCCAGACTATGCCCTGCAATTCAGTCTGAAACAGAGCCTGGCCTAGAATCAAGAGCTCAGACCAGTTTTTAGAACCCTGACCCTACTTGGAGCACAGAGCTCCAACCATCGTCTAAAAACCAGTTCGTAAACCAGAGCTTAATAAAGAACCCTAGGCCGGGCGCTGTGGCTCACGCCTGTAATCCTAGCTCTTGGGAGGCCGAGGCGGGCGGATTGCTCAAGGTCAGGAGTTCAAAACCAGCCTGAGCAAGAGCGAGACCCTGTCTCTACTATAAATAGAAAGAAATTAATTGGCCAACTGATATATATATAAAAAAATTAGCCGGGCATGGTGGCGCATGCCTGTAGTCCCAGCTACTCGGGAGGCTGAGGCAGAAGGATCGCTCGAGCCCAGGAGTTTGAGGTTGCTGTGAGCTAGGCTGACGCCACGGCACTCACTCTAGCCTGGACAACAAAGTGAGACTCTGTCTCAAAAAAATAAAAAATAAAAAATAAAAAAAAATAAAGAACCCAGAACATAAGCTAGAATGTGGCACTCATAGAAGTGTCCAGAATCCATAGCTCAGGTTGTAGTTCCTTGTTCAAAATAGAGCCTCAAAACCTAAAACAAAAAGCTCACACTAGAATCTAGAAACTATGTCATGTCCAGACTTGATCTAGAATCCTGACCCTAGCCTACAGTCAAGAGATTAAAATGTCTAGAACTCAGAGCCCAGCTAGCAATGGAATGGAACCTACGCCATTACATCCATGCTGATTTAGAGCCTGGAACCATAATCCAGAGTCCCGCTTAGAACCCAAAGCATAGAACCTGGCACAGATCCTGGAACTGAGCCCTGACCATCACTTCATACCCACCAGGAGCTGGAACACAGCCCAGGAGAGGAAAGGGAGGAAGGTGGGGCTGGGGCGAGAGAGACTGTGCAGGAAAGGCACAGGAAGCCAAGACATGATGCTCAGCCTGCAGCTGGAGGGAAGCAGGGTAGACGCAGGGGAGGAGAACTCATCACCAGGAAAGGGCACAGGGCTGAGGGTGGGGAGGCGTCTCCTGGACAGACCATGAGCAGTTCTCCTCTTGGGGGTCGTGGCCAGGATCCTCCGGGTAGCCCTGGGCAAGCACAACCTGAGGAGGTGGGAGGCCACCCAGCAGGTGCTCCGCGTGACTCGCCAGGTGGCACACCCCAGCTACAATCCCCGGGCCCATAACAACGACCTGATGCTGCTGAGGCTGGAGCGGCCTGCCCGGCTGGGAAGGGCAGTGAAAACCATCCCCGTCGCCCAGTCCTGTGCCAGCCCTGGGACGCCCTGCCTTGTGTCAGGCTGGGGGACCACATCCAGTCCCATCGGTGAGGGTGCCTGCATCCTGGAAAGGAGGGGCTGGGGGCCTGGACCCTGGACCCTGGAGCTCAGGGAGGGGGGTTGGGGATGGGACCCTTGGGTCTGAGGGAGGAGGGCTGGGGACATGGACCCCTGGTCTGAGGGAGGAGGCTGGGGACATGGACCCCTGGGTCTGAGGGAGGAGGCTGGGCTGGACCCCTGGGTCTGAGGGAGGAGGGGCTGAGGGACATGGACCCTGGTCTGAGGGAGGAGGGGCTGGGACATGGACCCTGGGTCTGAGGAGAGGGGCTGGGCTGACCTGGTCAGAGGAGGAGGGCTGGGCTGGACCCCTGGTCTGAGGGAGGAAGGGGCTGGGGACATGGACCCCTGGGTCTGAGGGAGGAGGGGCTGGGGATGGGACCCCTGGGTCAGAGGGAGGAGGGGCTGGGGGCCTGGACCCTGGGTTTCATGGGAGGGCAGACCCCAGTTGTAACCCCTCAGTGCCTCCCCAGCCAGGTACCCCAACTCTCTGCAATGTGTGAACATCAACGTCTTCCAGAACCAGACATGCCAGCAGGCCTACCCTGGAGCCATCACTGCTGGCATGGTCTGTGCGGGGGTCCCCCAGGGCGGGAAGGACTCTTGTCAGGTAAGGCCCAGGTGGGAGCTGGATGTGGTTCGGGGTTAGGATTTGGGTACCAAAGGATCTCAGGAGCATGAAAGTCAGCAGAGGTGGTGAGAAGAGAGGGGAACCCCAGGGACTGAGAGAGGTTTTGATAGTCGGGCTGTCCTGCTTCCTAGCCTTCTTCTTCTTGGGTGATGGACTTAACGCCTTTACGCCTCACTTTCCTCATCTGTCAAATGGGGATAACTCCTCTCAGGGTGGTTGGTGCAGTTGGATGAGACAGTCCTTGGGAAGAGCGTGGCGCAGTGTCTGCACATGTGGGGAACTGTGCTGGGGCTTGAGAAACCTTAATCCACCCCCAAGAGAGGGAGATAGAAAAGGAATACACACGGTTTTCCAGAAATAGAGCTAAGACAGAGAAGGGCCCAGTGAAACCAAGGGGCAGAGGCAGGGACAGAGGCAGAGACAGGACCCAGGGAAGAGGGAGAGAAGTGTCCCCTACCAGAGGGCTGAGGTCTCAGAGCTGGGGCAAGACACTGCCTCAGCCTGTCCCCCTGCCCTCCTGTGCCTCTTGGGTTCTCCGTGTCCCTGGCTCTGGCCATCTGTCCATCAGTGTCTCTATCTCTGTCCCTCCCCCTCAGGGTGACTCTGGGGGACCCCTGGTGTGCCGAGGACAGCTTCAGGGCCTGGTATCCTGGGGAATGGAGCGCTGTGCCCTGCCTGGCTACCCCGGCGTCTACACCAACCTGTGCAAGTACCAAAACTGGATCCAGGAAACGATGGAGGGCAGATGGCGGTCCCCATGACTGCGTGTCAGCTGTCCCCGCTGACCTCCCCATGCAGGACCCTGAAGCTCTGTCCCCCAGCACCCTGGTCCTCACTCCTGGCTCTGGCCTCCCCGTTCCCAGAGCAGTGGCTTCAGGTCTTTCTCCCCAGCCATGTCCCCACACAGCATCACCACCATTACTCAAGACCCCCTTAGGACAGAAGCCAGGAGCACAGACACTCTGAAGCTCTGTTATATTCCAAAGAAGGCAATTTTTTAAACTCATGGTGTCTCTAAAAACCAAATAAATAATAACAATAAAAACTGAATAATCCCAAATTTTATTCATCCATTCATTTAATGCATTTGTGATTAGATTAAAGAAAATGTGGTCTATATGCACAATGGAATGCTAGTCAGCCACAAGAAAGGATGAAATCATGTCTTTCGAAGCAACGTGGATGGAGCGGGAGCCCATCATATGTGAAACAGCCCAGACACAGATACTGCTGGCTGTCACTTATAGGTGGGAGCTAAACAATGTGTCCACACGGCTGCGGAGTGTGGAGTGATGGATGGGCAAGGACACTCAGAAGGGTGAGGCGGTGAAGAGGGGTGGATGATGAGAGATTACTTAATGGATACGACGGACATCATTGGGGGGATGGATACCCTAAAAGCTCTGACTTCACCACTATGCAATCTATGCATGTAACAAAATTACACTTTGTACCCCATAAATGTATACAAATTTTTTAAAAGGAAACATGTACGCAGTGGCCCCATCGTGCCCAGCCAGGAGCCATGTTCCAACAAGTGGCTGCCTTGTTTGTGTTGTTCCTTGGGAGTCTGCCCCCGTCCCCAGCTGTATCTGGAGTCCAGAAGGAAGCGCCCCAGCCCTGCAGTGTGCCCTTGCGCAGGGCAACCCCTCTCCCAGCCCCCTCTCTGGAGCTGCTACCGTCAGGGACAAGGAGCTGCCTTGCTTCTGGAAAATTCTATGCCAATAGAGGGGTTCTCTTTTTCCTAATCAGATCTCAGGTGAGGAGAGTTGAGTTGATCACACTCTTGAGGGTTCAAGTCCAGGCAAAGCCCCTCTCTCATTTTATTTATTTACTTCCACCCTCCATCCCTGCCTCCCTTACCCTCCCTCCCCTACACAAACGGCCTGGAACACCCTGCATCCTTAGAAAACAGGGCATTGCCAACATCGTCATCGTCTTTTTCTAATTTACATGAAATCCTTGTGTTAGGAATCTCATTCTCTCTCTTACCTTCACTCTTCAAACACTATTTATCGCACACCTACTACGAACCAGGCATTGGTTTACTTATCCGGGACCTACTATGCACCAAGCATTGTTCTAGCTGCTGGAGGAAGAGCTGTGAGCAAGCCAGTTGGAATCCCTACCCTCGCAGAGCTTATATTCCAGCAGGAGACGACAGACAAGAAACAATAAATGCGATTTAAAAGCAAAGCAGAGTCCCTATGAGTAAAGAGGCCCATGAACTTGGGCTGGGCGGCAGGCCCGGTGTGTGCCAGAGCCAGCTCATACACGCTCACAAGAGTCTACTGGCAAGTTCTCAGGAATTTTGAGAGCCAGCTGCCAAATGAAGCCATTATTAGATATTAAATTACATAAACTTACAATTGAATAATTTATTTAAAGAATAAAGGCAATAAATACTCAAAAACTCATCCATTCCTGATTATTTTAACTAATCCCTGTGCTTTGGGGTTATCCATGTCTGTTGCATTACGTCTGTAAAGCTGCGCTTCTGCACGTCTCTTCCCAACTCTGTCCTGTGACATCACATTTGTAGGTTGACATCAGCCAAAGTGGGAGTATTTACACCACAGACATCGGCAAACAGGACAGATAAGAACTTTTTTTGCCCCCGCCCACCCCCCCCCCCAGGGAGCCATTGTTAAACCTTTACCAGAGCATCCCTGAACAGGTCTGCCTGGGAATGAACTAATGATCTTAGCGTCTGTCTTCTTGGAAGTTCTGTTCTTGGATACTAAAGAGTACAGATAAGGTAGAATGTTGTGCTGACCGCATGTTCTGTGGGGGACAGCACAGTATTGGGGAGCTCTTAGGTGGCAGGTCTAGAACCTGCATGACTACAGCAGCACAAAAAATTGCTGAGAAATGGAAGCTGCACCTTCTTTTTTCTCCCCTGACACCACCCTTCAGGCCCTGGCAACCACCATTCTACTCTCTGCTTCTAAGAGTTGGACTTTTTTTAGATGCCACATGTAAGTGAAAGCATGCAGTATTTATCTCTCTGTGTCTGACTTACTTCACTTAACATTACATCCTCCAGGTCCACCCATGTTGTTGCAAATAACAAGATTTTCTTCTTTTATGTGGCTAAATAATATTCCATCATACATACATATTACATTTCCTTTATCCAATCATCCTCAGCAGACACTTAGGTTATTCCCATAGCTTGACTGTTGTGCATAATGCTGCAATGAACATGGGAGTGCAGATACCTCTTAAAGATATCGATTTCATTTCCTTTGGAGACACACCTAGAAATGGGATTGCTAGATTATATGGTAGTTCTGTTTTTAGTTCTTTGAGAAGCCTCCATACTGTTTTCCATAATGGCTGTACCAATTATGCCCCACCAACAGAGAACAAAGATTCCCTTTTCTTTACATCCTTGCCAACATTTGTTATCTCTTGTCTTTTTGATACTGTTCATCCTAACAGGTGTGAGGTGATATCTCATTGTGGTTTTCATTTGCATTTCCCTGATGATTACTGATACAGAGCACCTTTTCAAATATACTTGTTGGTCATTGTATGTGTCCTTTTGAGAAATGTCTATTCAGGTTCTTTGCCAATTTTTTAATTGGGTTTTTTTTTCCTTGCTATTGAGTTGTTTTCATTACTTGTGTATTTTGGATATTAACCTCTTATCAGATATATCATTTGCAAATATTTTCTCCCATTCTTCAGGTTGTCTTCTCACTCTGTCAATTGTTTCCTTTACTGCACAGAAGATTTTTAGTTTGATATAATTCCATTTGTCTATTTTTACTTTTATTGCCTGTACTTTTGGGATCATATCCAAAAAATCATTGCCCAGACCAATGTCAAGAAGTTTTTCTCTGTCTCTTCTTCTAGCAGTTTTACAGTTTCAGGTCTTATGTTTAAAGTCTTTAATCTATTTTGAGTTTGTTTTTGTATATGGTGTGAGACAGGGGTCCAGTTTCATTATTCCCCATGTGAGTATTCGCTTTTTCCAAGAGCACTTGTTACAGAAACCATATTTTTCCTATTGTGTATTCTTGGCTCTTGTTGAAGATCAGTCGACTGTAAATACGTGGATTTATCTCTGGGCTCTCTATTCTGTTCCATTGGTTTACATGTCTGTTTTTGTGCCAATACCATATTGTTTTGATTACTACAAGTTTGTAGTATGTTTTGAAATCACACAGTGTGATGCTTCCAGCTTTGTTCTTGCTCAAGATTACTTTGACTATTCAAGGTCTTTTGTGGTTCCATGTGGATCTTTGAATTATTTTTTTCTATTTCTGTGAAAAATGCCATCGGAACTTTGATATGGATTCCATTAAATCTTTAGATTGCTTTGGTTATTATGGAAATTTTGACAATATTAATTCTTCCATCCCATGAACATGCCATACCTTTCCACTTACGTATGTTGCCTTCCATTTATTTCATCAGTGTTTTCATTTTCAGTGCACAGATCTTTTTACCTTCTTGGTTAAATTTATTCCTAAGTATTTTATTTTTTCATGCTATTGTAAATGAAATTGTTTTCTTCATTTTTTTCTGGTTGATAATTGCTAATGTGTAGAAATACAACTGATTTTTTTGTATGTTGATTTTATATCCCACAACTTCACTGAATTGTCTTATTAGTTCTAGGAGATTTTTGGGTTTTCTGGAGTTTTAGGGTTTTCTACATATAAGATCATAACATCTGCAGAGATAATTTTATTTTGTCTTTTCTGATTTGAATTTCTTTTATTTCTTTTTCCTGCCTAATTGCTATGGCCAGGACTTTCACTACTATTAAATAGAAGTGGCAAGAATGGGCATCCTTGTCTTGTTCTTGAGCTTAGAGGAAAAGTTTTCAACTTTTCACCTTTGAGTATGATATTAGCTGTGAACTTGTCATATACAGCCTTATTATGTTGAGGTACATTTCTTCTATACCTAATTTGTTGACAGTCTTTGTCATGAAGGAATGTTTTATTTTTTGCATCTATTGAAATGATCGTATGATTTTCATCCTTTATTCTGTTAATATAGTATATCACATTTATTGATTTGTATATGTTGAAAAATTCTTGCATCCCAGGGATAAATTCCACTTGATCATGGTGCATGATCCTTTTTATATGCTGTTGAATTCAATTTGCTAGAATTTTGTTGAGGATTTTTGTATCTATGTTCATCAGAGACATTGGCCTATAATTTTCTTTCCTCATAGTGCCCTCATCTGAGTTTGTGAAGGCTGCACCTTCTATGTCAAGGTGATAAACACACATTGTGGCTCTCATATATGGCAGCCATGCAAGCCCTATGGGTGAAAGGAGACAAAAGAAACATGTATTTGGGTAGCTTTGGACCCCCAGTGAGGTGATATAGCCCATGCTCTAATCCTCATCCTGCATCTTTCTATAAAGCTAAGTAAAAGTAGTTTAGATTAAAGATTACTTTAATCATATTTCCAGCTCAAATCCCAGCTGTGGTGGTTGAGCACCATATTTTATTGATTCAGAAACATACATTCTTTTCATATTTTTTAACATCTCTGAAATTGGGAAACATCTCACAACTGAGCATCATGTCTTAGCATAATTTCATAATTTAATTGGCATCTTCTTTTTCTTTCTAAGTGATCTACAAAACAACAATGGCACAAATGTGATCAACAGCATTTTCTATTTAATGAAATGGGGCATGAAGGAAAGCAAGTATATGTGAGGAGTTAAGTTGTAGTATTAAACAGGTGGTCTGATTTTCCTGAATGATCTTTTAACAGTTTATCTGCCTTACTGTTTGCTATCTAATTTGCTGCTTCTAACTGCCCCAGAGTCTTCTAGACATGTGCTATCCAATATGGCAACCATTAGCCACATGTGGTTACTTAATTTTTGGTTAAAATTAACTAAAATTAGATAAACTTTAAATCCCACTCCTCAGTCATCCTCACAACATTTCAGGTGCTCAAAAACCATATGTGGCTAGTAGTTTCTATACTGGACAGTGAAGACACAAAACATTTCCATCATCACTGAAAGTCCTACTGGACAGCATCACTCTAGTCTTTACCCTTGCTTTCCCTGTGGTCCAGGGAACAATAGCATCAGAGTCACTTGGAGCTTATTAGAAGTGCAGAATCTTGGACCTCACTCCAGATCAGCTGAATCAGAATCTTCATTATAACAAGAACCCCAGTGAACTCAATGCACATTAAGATTTGAGAAGCACCACTCCACAGTATATATCCACCATGTTTAATGACTCAGTCTCCTCCCAGTGATGGACATCCAGGTTCCCCTCACTACCCAAGCCACAGTGCAATGACTATTTTTTTTAATATGCCTCTGTGTACCTATAGAAGATTACTGTGGACTAGTCACACAGGAGTGGGACCACTGAACCAAAAGACCTACTCTTAATAAATTTCACCAAATATTGGCAGGTTTTTGTCTAGAAAAGAAAAGATAACAATGTCTCTCTCTCTCTCTCTATCCCCTCAATAATGCCTGCAGTTCATTCATTCATTTAGCAAATATTTAATGCCTGTAGTTCATTCATTTATCCAGCAAATATTCATTCAATCCTACTGTGCACCAGATGTTGTTCAAGTAACAAAACGGTTAAACATCCCTGCCCTCCGGGAGCTCACATTCTAGAGACAAGGCAGATAAGAAACAAATGCGTGAGTGGAACAGATGGGAATAAATGCCAAAAAGAAAAAATAAATAAATCAGAGTAAGAGGATAGGGGATGTCAGAGGAGAGGTGCAATTCTACATTGAGTGATCATACAACCCAGCAGGCCTGGGTTAGCCTAAACATTAGAAAGAAAGGTTTGGCCTCTGCCTGGCTTCTCATAGATACCTTCTAAGCCCTGAGAACATCTGCCTGATAACGGTGTCTTTGTCTACCTGGGGGCTTTGAGCCACGGCGGATAATCTACGCTAACAATGTGACTTGCAGTGTGCACCTACGGACATGTGGCATCAGTCAGCTTGACCCATGGAGGATCTGGAGACCAGGGCAGCCACACAGGTGGGCAGTCTGTCTCTGTGACCAACCCTCAATAAGAACCCTTGACACCAAGGCTCAGGCAAGTTTCCCTGGTTGGCAATACTCCATGTGTGTTGTCACACATTGCTGCTGGGAAAATTAAGCACTGTCCCTAAGACTTCACTGGCAGAGGACAAGTTGACTCTTGTGCCTGGTCTCTCCTGGACTGCGCCCTGTACATCCTTTCCCTTGCTGATTTTAATCTGTATCCTTTCACTACAATAAACCAAAACTAGGAGCATGACGGCTTTTCTGGGCCCTGAGTCCGTCTAGGGAATCACTGAATCTGTCTTGGGGACCCCCTACTATAGTGGTTAACAAAGTCTTCATGGACAGGATGACAGAAATGGAGGGAACCATGCAGACATCTGAGGTAAGAGGTTCCAGGTACAAAAGCCCTGAGACGGGAGCAGGCCTGGCATGAGAGAGGCGAGAGAAGGGGAGAGGGTAGAAGATGACATCAAAGCGGTACTGGGGGCCAGTCGGTCCCCAGCCTTGTGTGCCACCATAAGGAAATACCACTCCCACCCTGAGGGGGGTGGGGGCCACTGCAAGGTTTGTGAGAAGAGGAGTGACCTGCTCTGACTTACATTTTAAAAAGGTCACTCTGGTTGCTGCGTTGAGAATAGAGTATAAGAAGACAGGGGCAGTAGCAAAGAGACCAGATAGGAAACTTACCATAATCCAGGTGAGAGACAGTGGTGGCCGCATGGGACCAGGGTGGCAAGGATGGAAGGTGGTGAGGAATGGTCAGATTCTGGATCTATTTTGAAGGTAGGACTGACACTGATAGGGTTTGGTTAAAAAAAAAAAAAATGGATGTGTGGTGTGGGAAAAGGAATTCAAGGGTGAGACTATGGTTTTGGCCGAGTAATGAGAAGGATGGCATGACCTGTAAGGTTTTTCCGCAGCAAAAAGAAAAGACAGACAGAGAGAAAGAGTGGGGCCAAACAACGTGGCTTTATTTAGTGCTCCTGGACGAGGTTCTGGGGCCCCAAGAGAAGGGGGGCCTAGAAGTCGCCTCCGTTTGAAGGGGATAAGCCCTTTGGGCTTGGCTAGGGACTTTTGGCGGGAAGAACTGGAGCGACCTTTGGTGTTCATTGAGAAATAGGAGGGGCTGGCGGCATTTGCGGAATCCAGGAGCTGAAACGTTCTTATCCGGGTGGACATCTGGGTGTGGTTTTCCTCAGCAGGGTCTGGTAGTTTGTCCTTGGCGAGTCTGGTCTCTTGAGCCTTTTCTTTTTGATCTAGGGAGGGGAAGGGGGGCCCGCCACCAGCCTTACGTGACCATCTACCAAGAAAACCAAGACCACAAGAGGAGCGAGTTGGGAACGTGAGAGGGTGGAGAACAGGAGCTTGGCTTTGAACGTGGAAATGTTGAGTAGGCAGATGGATGTTAAGTGGAGAGTTCAAGAGCAAGGTCTGGCTAGAGACATAAATCTGGGAGTCGTCAGCCCGTAGACGGTATTTAAAGCCACGAGACCAGATTAGGTCACCGAGGGAGTGAGTGTAGACAGAAGAGAGAAGAGGGCCAGGGACTGAACCCTCAGGTGTGCCACCATGTAGAGATTGGGGAGATGAGGAGGAACCAGCGCTAGACACGGATGAGGCTCAGCCGGTACCTTAGGAAAACCAGGAGAGCACAGTGCCCCAGACGCTGAGGACAGAAACTGCTTGAAGGAACAGGGAGTGACCCGCTTGTTAAGTGCTGCTGGCGACTCAAGTAAGATGAACCCTGAAGAGCTGGCCCTTGGACTCCACAGCATGGAGGTCACCGGCGCCCTTCCCAGGGGTATGGCTGGTGGAACAGGCGGACAGAAAGCCAGGCGTGAGGGAGGACGGGAGGAGGGGAATTGCAGGCAGTGAGCAAAGCCAACTTCTTAGGGAAGGGTTGAAGTCACCGGGAGCAGAAAATGGGCCAGGAGCTGAAGGAGAACGTGAGTGTAGAGCGAAGATATGTCTGTTTGCTTTTTAATGAAAGAGGGGACAAACTGTAGCATGTTTGTATGTAAATGGGACTGCTCATTGAGGAAGGAAAAAAATGGACGTTGCAGGCGAGACAGCTGAGAGCCGCTGTCTGGAGCAATGTCCTCGAGGAGGCGGGGGGCCGGGACAGCAGCAGAGTGGAGGGTCTGTCCTAGCTGCAGGTGCAGACTGTCCACCTATAGAAACGGGAGAGGAGGCAGAGGATGTGGGCACACAGGTAGGTGGCAAGACTGACCTCGCTAATTTTTGCTGTTCTGATGGGTGAAAAAGGTTGTCGCTGCAAGGGACGGGTGATCCCTGAAGCCAACATCCTGAATGACGCGGGTCCAGCTCTAAAGAAGAATCCACGTCTCTCAACTCCTTCTGCATCTTTCTCTCCGAACGTCTGTTTCTCCCTGGACGGACGTCTCTGTCTATCTCTGCACCTTTGTGCCTCTGTCTCTTTGCATTTCCTCTGTCCTCTCCCACCCACCCTGTCTTTCTGTCTCTGTATATTTAGCTCTTTGTGTCTTTCTCTGTGTCCCCCTCCCTTCATGTTTGCATCGGGGCCTCTCCCCCGGGCCTGGGTGTGGGGCCTACTTTCTCATCCTAGCTATAGCAATTCCAACCAGAACTTCTAGTTCCTGCTTGACAAAGAATCCCATTTTGAAGCCAAGCTAGGGTGGGGATTCCAGGAACCTCAACCTGCCTCCATCCCCAGCTTCACTTATTTAACAAGAATATCTGTGCCCTTGGTCTGTGCCAGACTCTCTTCTAAGCACCTTCAAATATTAATTCATTTAACCTTTCTCTATAAGGTAGGGCGTATTGATCGTGCCATTTTACAAATGGGGACACTGAGGCACAGAGCGACCACATCACCTGAACTCAGGCAGTTCAGCTCCAGAGTGAGTCTGAAATCTGAACCACTAGGAACACTGTCTCTTTTTCCAGTCCTTTCTTTTTATTGCTCCAGCAGGGCTCTCTCTGGGGAGAAAGATCTTGATCTGTGAGTGAGTGCACTTGGATTTGGTCCAGTTTGTGGGTGACTTTCAGTAGCCCACTGTGTGTGACTTTAAGTCATGGGTTCCTTGTTGCCTTGTTAATTAAGTGAGGAGGTGGAAGGCACCCAGTCCTCTGTGGGTCCATGACCTCATTGCAACCAGAGTCAGCAAATCCAAGTCCCAGCCAATCACAACCCCTAATATCAGCGTTGACCTGGCACTCACCCCTCAGCAAATGCCAAAGCCAGCCACCCCTACTCCAGGCTGCAGCCCTTCCCAAGTGAGAAAGACTTCTCTGGAAGCACAGACCCAGGCCACAAGAGGGCACAGGTACCCTGACTTCCCACACAACCCAGTAACCTCACTTAACCTGGCATCCTCCCTCCAGCCATGTCACCTGAACCCAACTCCACTCAGAAAGGGTCAACTCAGGCTCTGCCTTGTGAGACGGGGGAAGTTTAGGGTGGAGAAGGGCCGTAGCCTTGCTTTCAACTTGAGAGGAGCTCACAGCCCTGAGCCAGCCCACCCTCAGCAAAACCTACCTCAGCACAGACACCCAACCTCACATCCAGTCCTCACCACCAATGCCAACCCACAGCCCCAACTCAACCATAGCGCAACACTTCCCCATCCAAAACCTCAATCTCATCCATCTCCAGCCCCAACCCAACAGGACCCTGTGCACCACCTTATCCCCAGATCCCTCCCATCTACAACCCAACCCTATCCTCCAAACCAACTCAACCACCCCCTCCAACCCTATACCCATCCTCATCCAATTTCCATTCTCCTCCGCAAATGCATTGCATTCCTAATGCTGTCATCAGACCCATCCTAGACCTGACCACAAACTTTACTCAATTCCCATATTAACCCATAATAGTGAAAGACCTTGAAATGGACCCAACAGGTGTCCTCAATGGAAGGTTAGATGGGGTATCTGATTTTAGGGGGTCTCCGCATCTTTTGTGGCATTTGAGCTACTTTACAACTCTGTAACATGTAAATAGCTGAGAGCAATGCAAATATTATAATTTTTGTCCATATGCAAATAAATTTTGTGCAAATACATTTTACCGGGTGGAAGTGCAATTGATTTCCTTCCTCCCCCCAATGTGGAAAGGCCAGTTTTGCATCTATTTGTAAATTCATCTCGGCATTCCTTATTGTCTATAGAGCATGGTTCTTCATAACATCTTACTGGCCCTGTCATTTATTAATGAGTCAAAATAAAATCTTTGACATACGTTCATTTAGTATAGGTCAGAGAGTCACGGTTAGACCATTTTTAAAAAGTTATCTTTTAACACTAGATTTGATCCCTACATCCGGATGAAACCTCAACTCCCCTAGTTTGGACCACACCAGTTTTGATGGGAGCCCTCACCCCATTCATCCCTACTTCTTATCCTCACTGGCACACCACCACTCTCTCGCTCTTTCCAAACTTTATCTGGTCCCCATCCCTGGCTTTCTTCCAAATTCTGACTCCACCTCTATCCTTCTTAATCCCTAATCCTGCCCCCTCCACCCCCGGGATTAACTCAGGGCCCCACCCAGTCATAGTTCCTGGAGACACCCACTCATTCCCAACACACCACCCCTTCCTCCTTCCTCTCCTCCCACCCCCCATCCGGGTCCCCTGCTTTTCCCTGTTGACCTGCGTGATGTCTCCATGGACTCCCTCACCCCATCTGGCCACGCTCCTAAAAGGCCATTTGTCCTAAATATTGCTTTCCCCGGCTTAAGCTCTGCCCCCACCCAAATCCAAGGGCAGTTGATTTTCTATCCACCCAGCGGATAATTCCCTTCTTGTGCCTGATGGTTGGGGTGGGGGGGAAGAAGGACAATGGAAGAAATTTGAGTATCCCTGTGTCTTCCAAAGGAAAAGGGGCTGAAGATGAGGCTGGGAATTGGAACCCAGACGAGCTGGGTTTGCTGCTGAGAGATAAGCTTGGGATAAGGTTGGAGATGGGACTGGGCTTGAGGACAGGCTAAGAGGGTGCAGTCAAGCAAGGGCACAGTACGGAGGTGGGACTGGGGTTGGAAACAGGCATCTAGGAGCTGGCTGCATCTTAACAACGTACATGGGCTTGGAGAGGAGGTTAGAAAATAGGATGGAAAATGGGTTGAAGTTAGGGCTGAGCATGGGGGCTTCCGGGGAGAGGCCGGGAAGGAAATGAGTTTCCCCCTTCCCCTCCTGGGTCCTGTCGCCTCAAAGTTCACAGTGGGTTCAACTGGCTTGGGCGGGGCCAGATCTGGGTCCCAGCAAGTCCTGGACGCCCCGCCCCAAGCAGAGTGCCAAGCCCAGGCTGGGGGGTGCCAGGCGACAGCCTGCTGAGCCATTGGGGGTGGAGAGGGGGAGGCCAGCGACAAGGAAATGCTGAGTGAGCTGGGGGAGGGAGTTCAGGGGTTAAAAGCCATGGGTCGGGGCTGAAGTTCTAAGCAGCTGGCGGCTGAAGCTCCACAAGCGGGCCCCTCACTCAGGTAGGGTCCGCCTGGGGGGGTGGTAATTCGGGACGAGGGTGGGGGTGCAGCGTTCAGGGGAGGGGAGGGCCAGCGGGGAGAGGGAGGAGGACAGCTAAGTCAGGGCGATGGAGAGGGAAGCTAGGGGCTTAGATGGAGAGAGAAACCTGCAGAGATGCAGAGAGATGAAGCGTGCAAAAAACGTACGAAAAGCAGGTTGACACCGAGCGTCGGAGCAGACGCAAGAGGGGGAACATGGGCTCGGGGAGCGGGCGGGCTCCGGAGGAGAGGAGCGAGGGAGTGCACTGACCGCCAGCTCGCGGGACGCAGGGAGGAGCCGCCTGGGGAGAGGGGCTGCCAGCCGGAGCCCCAGGGGGTGCACCTGCCCCTCCCACCTTGCTCCTGGACCCCCGCCGCGGATGGAGAGGGGCGCAGATTCCAGGTCGGGGCTCTCTGAGCGCATGAGGGGAGGGGAGGTCACGGACTGGAAAGCGCAGGGGAGGAGAGATCCCAGACACGCGGTTCCGGGCCGGGCCTCGACACCCCTCCAACTTCTCCTCAGGCCCCGCCGCCCTGCCCCGCCATCCCGGAGCCATGTGGCCCCTGGCCGCAGCGATCGCCTCCCTGACCGTGGCGCTGTCAGGAGGTAAGAATGCGCGGGGGTGGAGGCGCGGCGGCCACGCGGGACAATGGTGGGAGGGGTCAGCCGGGGGGAGGGGGCGTGGGAGCCTCGAGCTCCGCCCCCCGCCCACGCGGGGCCGGCCCGCAGCGCTTCCTGCTTGTCCCTGCGTGACCTGGTTTCCGGGCCGAGGTCGGCCCACTGACCCCAGTTCCATCGCCCTCTGACCCCGACCCCTCCCTGGGGCGTCCCAGCTCTGCGGCGCCCACCCCTCAGCTCCTAAACTACCCCTGCAGCAGCCCCTCCCACGTGCAAGGCCTCCTGGGCCCCTCCCCCGCCCCCCCCAGCACGGGAGTCGGAAGGACTGGGGTTCACATCCTGACGCTGCCACTTTGAGCAAGTAGCTTAGCTTCTTTGTGCCTAAGTTGTTTTCGTCTGTAAAACGTTATGATGTAAGTACTTACCACAGAGGGTCCTTGTGAATATTAAAACAAGGTAATACATGCCAAGGGTGGCAGATAAAAGGGACTTGAAAGTTAGTCTTTACTACTTTATCAACAGTATTTTCTCTTCATTCTTAGCCCTTTCCAGAACCTTCTAATTTGTTCTTCCTTTAATTCTTGGGGTACTCCCAAACTTATGTGACCTCACCCAAAGTTGGTCCCCAAAGAGCCCTCTCCCCACATTTAGGCCCCCTTTTTTCTGCCTTTGCAGTCAGGTTCTCTGGAAACCTCATTCATGCATCATTCATTCATGCATTCATTCATTCAACAAACAGCCATTGAGCACCAGGCAGTGTGCTGGCTGCTGTACAAACAGAGACACAGTCCCTGCTCTCAGCACTGAGTCTAGCGGGGACTCACGCAGATGTTATTCAAACAATTACCCAAATAATTAGTTAATAATTAATTACTTTGAATGACGTGAGGTGAAGTCTTCAAGGAGTCAAGCCAGGAGCCTAGAGGTGTAATGAACTTGACTCTTGAGCCAGCCCTGAAGGAGGAGGGGTCCAAGGGCACCTGGCACCTGGCACCATCCTTGGCCTGAAGACGGGGTGGCTCCTCTTCTTTGGTGACACTCCCTGGACTCGTGCCTCTTCTGGGTGCCACACCCTAGGCTAGGAGCTCCACATGCTAAGTCTTGTGCAGTTCTCAACAGCTTGCTGAGGTAGGTGCACTATAATTATTCCAGTTTCACAACTGAAAAACCCCAGACTTGGAGAAAGAAAGGTTCTTCCCCAAAGACACCGGCAGTGCCTGAGTCAGGACCGTAATGCAGGTTGTCCTCTGTGCACCATATCCTGGGCTTGAGGCTCTGCAAACCATTTTCATAATGGTTCTTAAACTCAGACCATTTTTTTTCTTTTACTGAAACTAAGGCACGTTCAAAAGTAAAGTGTCACTATCCTGAATAGAAAAAAACATCCTTCGCCATAATTTAAAGGTAAGGTAAGAAATAAGTTCTGCACAATGAAAACAGAACAATATGTTCATTGGGTTGGACCACCCAAAGTTGCCAGTTTTTGACCTCCCCAAAACAGCTGTTGCTGATGGTTCAACACAGTCAATTTTAGGTTGCCTGCTGAGGTTTCTGTTTCCTCCTGGTTTTAAAACGTGAGCTCAGGCCAGGGCGTGGTGGCTCAGGCCTGTAATCCTAGCACTCCAGGAGGCCAGGGTGGGGGGATCGTTTGAGCTCAGACATTCGAGGCCAGCCTGAGCAAGAGTGAGACATTGTCTCTATCAAAAAATAGGAAAAAATTAGCTGGGCGTGGTGGCACAAGTCTATAGTCCCAGCTACTCTGGAGGCTGAGGCAGGAGGATCGCTTGAGCCCAGGAGTTTGAGGTTGCTGTGAGCTAGGCTGACGCCACGGCACTCTAGTCCAGGCAACAGAGTGAGACTCTGTCTCAAAGAAAAAAAAAGTGAGCTCAGTGAGGATTAGAGTGATGTCAAACTCATATTAGCACCATGATGACACTTTATCCTCAACAAAGTTGGGATTAAAAGAGGGCTGCATGCTGACTCAACGTCAGAGTGTGCGATTTAGCGTTACTTAGACCTCATCTCTCCGCCACCTAAAATGGTCCTGTGCCCACCGAAGACTCGTGCCCCTACCTGAGAACCACTGGGCTAATCCCACTGCTGGCCGTGTAGTCGGGGAAGCTGGCAAGGAAGAGAAGGGACCTCCTGCTGTAGCTAATAATTAATAATAACTGTCCCCACTTACTGAGCCTTTTTTGTGTCACCTGCTGTGCTGCATGTTTGAAATGCAGGATCTTATTGAACTGTACAAAGGCCCGATGAGAGATGAACTATTACTTTTGCTACTTGACTGCTGGGGAAACTGAGGCTGGTGACTTGTATGAGATTGAATAGTCAGAAAGTGGCACGTTCAGGACTGGATTCTCTCTGTCCCACTGCTGATTCCCTCTGCCTGTCCCCATGCTGTGCCTCCAATGACAGACACAGTGCCCGGCATACACAGCATTCGTTTCCTGGGCACCCGTGGCGTGCCAGGCATTGTGAGAGGTCCCAGGAATGCAGCCCTGAGCAAAGCAGTGGAGGTGCCTGTTGTCATGGAGCTTACGGTCAAGGTGGGAGGTGAAAATGAATAAGTAAATGTAAACAAATTATGAAGAGAAATCAACAGTGACCATTGTTCTGATGACAGTCAATTGGAGAAATGTAACAGGGAATGACTGGGGGCTGGGAAGGGCAACATTAAACCAGGTGGCCAGGGAAGGCCTCTCTGAAGAGGAGACATTGGAACTCTCAGAATCAAGAAGGACCCAGACATGTAACCTATAGATTCTCAGAGCCCTCCCACAGCATATTCCATATATTTATATAAAATGTCCTGTGCCTGCACTGTCCAATATGGTAGCCACTGTCCACTTGAGGCTGTTGAGCATTTAAAATGTGGCTGGTGTGAATCGAATTTTTAATTTACTTTTTTTTTTTTTGAGACAGAGTCTCACTCTGTTGCCTGGGCTAGAGTGCTGTGGCGTCAGCCCAACTCACAGCAACCTCAAACTCCTGGGCTCCAGCGATCCTCCTGCCTCAGCCTCCCGAGTACCTGGGACTACAGGCGTGCACCACCATGCCCGGCCAATTTTTTCTATATAGTTTTAGTTGGCCAGCTAATTTCTTTCTATTTTTTAGTAGAGACGGGGTCTCGCTCTTGCTCAGGCTGGTTTCAAACTCCTGACCTTGAGCAATCCTCCCGCCTCTGCCTCCCAGAATGCTAGGATTACAGGCGTGAGCCACCATACCCAGCCTTTTAATTTACTTTTGTTTCATTTTAATAGCCACATGTAGCTAGTAGCTACCATATTGAACAGCATAGGTCTGGAGGAAGAACTGTCCAAAGAGAAAAAAACAGCAAGTACAAAATGTCTGGTGTATTTGAAGAACAGGTTTATGAGGCTTGACTAGAGTGAGGCAAGAGGAGAGAGGCAGAGGATGGGGTCAAAGAGGCTGGCTAGGGCCAGATGGTGCAGAGTCCTGCAAACCTTGGAAAAGTTTGGAGACTTTATTTTAAAGGAAGTCAAGAATCAGAATGACATGTTCTGACTTTCTTTGTTCAAAGAGTCCTCAGGCTGCTTTGCAAAAACTGGATTGAAGGGATCTGAAATCAGCAGGATTTGGGGTGCTGTTGTTGTCATTCAGGCTACACAAGCTGGGACTTGAGCCTAGATAGTGGTGGAGAAACTGGAGAGAACTGGATATTCAGGAGATAAAACGAGCAGGACATGTTCATTGTGAGTGTTTGAAGGAAAGAGGGAAAGCAAAAATGACTCCTAGGTTTGAGGCTGAGCACTGAGGTGGGGAAGACCAGATAGAACAGTTTTGGTTTAGCAAAATCAAAGTGTAAGATACCTGTAAGACATTCAGGTTGACAATGTTTGAGTTTTGAGCTTAAAGAAAGAGCTCAGGGCTAGAAATGTGAATTTGGGAGTGGTTAGCCTATGGGTGGCATTTAATATGTGTTGAAAGTAAATATGTGTTGAAAGTAAATATGTGTTGAAAGGATGGATGGATGGATGGATGGATGGATGGATGGATGGATGGAGGATGGATCCATGAATGAGTGGATGGATCAATGGATGGAGAGATGAGTGGATGGATGGAAGGATGGAGAGATGGATGGATGAGTAGGTAGAAGGAGGGAGGGAGGAATGGATGAATGGATAGAAGGATGAGGAGATGGGTGGATGAGTAGGTGGAAGGAGGGAGGGAGGAATGGATAAATGGATGGAGGATGGATGGAAGGAGAGAGGGAGGGATAGATGGATGAGTGGGGGAAGGATGGATGGATGAGTGGCTACATGGGTAGGTAGATCCATCCATCCATATGAATCATTGGATGCATGGATGGATGAGTGGATGGATGGATGGATGGATGGATGGATGGATGGATGGATGGAGGAATGGATGGATGAGTGGATGGAGGGAGGGACAGAGAGGTGGAGGGAGGGATGGGTACTGCCTACGTGATGGATATATAAGTCAGTCTCACTTCCACATCCTGAAATCCATCTCTGTGTTGGAATAATAGAGAAAATGCAGGTGGAGAGAAAGTCAGACTTCCACTTACTTATCAGAAGCATTCTCATTCCATGAATTCTTCTCTTAACCCCCAGTGGAGGGTTTGGCACTTCTGTGGAAAATGTCACCTCTTTGCCCTGACTCATCTCTACTTAATAGAGAATGGCAAGTGCCAGAGGTTAAGAAATGAATCGTCAATTCCTGGTCACCCAGAGCAAGATCCTGACCCTTCCCTCAAGCCCCGGGATCACAACTCCAGGGCTCCTCCTCACCCTCGACCCCAATTCTCTAACAGTTTCTCTTCGTCACCAGGCATCTCCCAGGAGTATCCCAAGATCCTCAACGGCACCAACGGGACCAGCGGGTTTCTCCCAGGCGGCTACACCTGCCTCCCCCACTCTCAGCCCTGGCAGGCAGCCCTACTAGTGCGAGGGCGGCTACTCTGCGGGGGGGTCCTGGTCCACCCCAAGTGGGTCCTCACTGCAGCGCACTGTCTGAAGGAGTACGTGGAGGCCAGGGGGCCTGGAGTAGGGAGGAGAATGGGACTGGGGTGGCTGGTGGGCTGGAGTTGGATTTCAGGATGGGACTGGAGTTGAGGATGGGGGAGGGGATGTGTTTGGAGATGAGGAAGGAGGGGAAGAGGCTGGGGCTGGCATTGCAGATGGAGATGGGCTCATCCTCTCCCCTAACCACTCCCTTCCTGCACCCACAGTGGGTACAAAGTTTACCTGGGCAAGCACGCCCTGGGCCGTGTGGAGGCCGGCGAGCAGGTGAGGGAGGTGGTCCGCTCCATCCCCCACCCTGAATACCAGATCAGCTCCACCCACCTGAACCATGACCACGACATCATGCTTCTGGAGCTGGAGTCCCCAGTCCAGCCCACGGGCCACGTCCGCGTCCTGCCTCTTTCCCACCATGACTGCCTACCCCCGGGCACCTGCTGTCGGGTGTCTGGCTGGGGCACCACCACCAGCCCCCAGGGTAAGTACTCACACAGGCAGCCTGAGGTCCCACAGGAGTGGCTGGGGAAACTGAGGCAGAGATGGGAGGGAGAGTTGGAGGAAGATTCCTCTCTCTATAATATTAATAATATAAATGTATGTAAAGTTATATATACGCTGTATATATTTTTCTATATTTACATAAATATATAAAATATACATTATACTTAATATATTGTATAGAATATGTTATCTAACATATACCATATATTAGATATTATATGATATAATACACATTAGACATTCTAGAGTAATATAATTTATCTATTTTATATATTAATTATATTATATAAATTGAATAAATACATTTTATAAATTATAAAATAGACAAATATATATTTTAGATATAATGTATCTATAATGTGTATATTATAAATATATAATACATAAATTATATATTATAAATGTATTTTATAAATATACATTTTTATATATTATATGATATAAATGCATTTTATCATTTATAACATATAAATAAGTATATAATTTCTATATATTATAATTTATAAGATACATTTACTATATTAATAAGTATGTTTTATTAATATTTTTAATAATCTAGCAATTGGTGCTTGTTAATATTATTTGTTAAATGTGATGAAATATAAATAAATATATCCTTTACATATAAGATACATACATGTGAATGTAAAGTTGGTGTATATACATGCCACCAAGGGCCCCTTGCATGTCCTTAGCAGCCCTGCACCCTCTCCCCGTCTCGTGTCCCTGTCTTTCTCCCCACAGGCCCATCTCTCTGCCCGCCACTCTGTCCAGCTCTCCCACACCTCTTCCCATCACTCCTCCTGCTTCTCCCATCTCCAGTTCTCCATCTCTGCCTTCCTGTTCCTCTCCAGTCTTCTGTCCCCACCACTGGCTCCACCTCTCTCCCCATCAGCCTCGAGGTTCCCACCCCATCCCTCCCCGGCCTCCCCCCACCCCATGTCTCTCCATGTCTCTGTCTCCTCCATCACTCTCCGCAGATACGTGCCCATCCTTCCCCCTCATCTTTCCCTTCCCATCTCTACTTTCTACCAACCCTGCCATCCAACTTTAGACCTAGGTCAGATGTGCTTAGACCTTCTCTCTTTCCTCCGCAGTGAGTTACCCCAAAACCCTACAGTGTGCCAACATCGAGCTCCGCTCAGACGGGGAGTGTCGCCAAGTCTACCCGGGGAAGATCACGCCCAACATGCTGTGTGCTGGCACAAAAGAGGGCGGCAAGGACTCTTGTGAGGTGAGGCCAAGAGGTGGGTGGGTTGCCATGGCGGGATGGGAAGCCCACATGGAGGTGGGGACAGGTATTAGGGGACAGGATTTGCTTCCAGCCTGTGGGAACCAAGGCGGAAGGTCATCTGCACAGAAGGTCCAAAAGGACCCAGGGGCGGCAGACAGAACTCATGTTAAGCCCCAGCTTTGACTAAGAGTCCAGAGCCCTCCGTTGAGATGCATAACGGTGGAGATTCCTTTAGTTTCAAGTGGCAGAAACCGAGTCATACTGGCCTGAGCCCAAAAAGTACCCGGCTTTTGTAACTGACAATTTAGGGGTGTCTGACGTTAGGCACAGGTGGATCCAGGTGTGTGCAAGTGATATGTTTGGAGTATTCTTCTTTCTTCCGTTTTGGCTTCATTCTCAGTTAGGCTCTTCCCGTGGCAAGATGGCCCCAGCAGCTTTGGGCTTGCATCCTACCTTCTAAGCAAAGCTACTGGAAAGAGAGAACATCTCTTTTTCATAAGTTCACACACATGTCTTGAGTGCAATTCTCACTGTGCTGACATCAGTCGCGTGTCCTGAGCCATTGCTCTGGCCGGAGCCGTGGGAGCCTCTGATGGACCACGCAGAGTCACGTGGCTAACTGTGGGGGCGGGGGAGGGGCGGGGACAGACTGCACAGATCGAGTAGGGAAGGGCCGTTCCCCAAATGGAAAAATAAGGAGGCCGTTACCAAAACAAGGGGAAATGGATATTATATGAGCAAAAGCCAACCTATGTCTATAGAGAAGGTTCAGGGATTGAGTATTGGTTCAGTGAGAAAAGTGTGATGCTATGATACTTTAATGATATGTGTCTTAATAGCTCAGCAATGTCTGCTTAGGGCCCAGAGGGAGAATCGGAAATGCATGCGTATTGCACACCCTCCCTGGATTCAGATGGGTTAATGCAATAGTAAGAGGTGCAAAGGAGCCTTAAAGCAGAAGCAGGGGCCAGGCGCAGTGGCTCACGCCTGTGAGCCTAGCATTCTGGGAGGCCGAGGCGGGCAGATCGCTCAAGGTCAGGAGTTCAAAACCAGCCTGAGCAAGAGCCAGACCCTATTTCTACTAAAAATAGAAAGAAATTAGCCGGACAACTAAAAATATATAGAAAACATTAGCCGGGCATGGTGGCACATTCCTGTAGTCCCAGCTACTCGGGAAGCTGAGGCAGGAGGATTGCTTGAGCCCAGGAGTCTGAGGTTGCTGTGAGCTAGGCTGACGCCACGGCACTCTAGCCTGGACAAGAGAGTGAGATTCTGTCTCAAAAAAATAAAAAAGCAGAAGCAGGGTCAGCTGGTGGACGACAGGGAGTGTGCGGTGGCATTCAGTGCCAGGGAACCAAGAATGGGCGTATGAGGTGAGCCGTCACCACTTTAATGAGACTGAGGAGCAGAGAAAAACAGAGACACTTCTCTCTCTCTCTCTCTGTCTCTCTGTGTCTCTCTCTCTCTCTCTGTCTCTCTCTCTCTCTCTCTCTCTGTCTGTCTCTCTAGCTGTTCATCCCCGTCTTTCTGTCCCTCTTTCCTCACCTCTTGCTCTCTGTCCCTCTGTGTCTGTCTTTTCATCTCTGTTTCTCGCTGTCTCTGTTGCTCTGAGCATGTCTGACTCCGTCTCTCAGTCTGTCTTTGTGTCTCTCCGTCTTTCATTCTCTCCCACATCTTCCTGCCTCTGCCCTTGTTTAGCCCTAGCAAAGACCCCACCTTCTCTTTCTCCCCACTCAGGGCGACTCCGGGGGCCCCCTGGTCTGTAATGGGACACTCCACGGCATCATCTCCTGGGGAGACTTCCCATGTGGACAGCCCAATCGGCCTGGCGTCTACACCCGAGTCTCAAAATACGTTTTGTGGATCCGAGAAACAATCCGAAAACACAACACCCCAGAGCACAAATGGACAAAGGGCCCACAATAAAACCTGTGTTAATTTACCTGCTTCCTTCCTCTCCCCATGACCTCCTCACCTTGTTTGCTCAGCCCTTCTCTGCCCCTTCCTCCCAAAGCGTTCCGTTTGAACAGTGATCCGCATTCTCAAAAATGCTCAATCCCAGCTGGCATTCCACGTTTCAGAAGCATTCAGGCACTGCCCGCCTTGTGGTCTCCCAGACGTTGTATACCTGAAACATCCTGGCAACCTGAATGTCCCACTCCAGACGACATCCCGGTTCTCCCAAGTGTATCGGCACGACTACTGTAAACCCAGATCACCACCGGAGCGTTCTGTCTGTGGCAGCATTCTTCAATGCCTTCATCTGCTCATCTCAACAATATTATGTGTCCTGTCAACAGACCATCCTTGACATCTTGTAACCCTCCCAACGGGTAGTAGTCTACACCCTTCTGTGTTTTACAAGAAGGCTCAAGACTCCCATGATATTTCATCCTGAAAATATTCTCTTGTGCCCACAATCTTCTGCCCCTACGACATTCTGTGCACCTCTGAGTGATTCATCACAGCTGACCTTGGGTCTTCAGACTGGTTCATTCCCACGCTGTTCTGAGTGTCCCGGATGTTCTGATCCAACATACATCTCACAATCTGGAACGCCTGGCCTCTGCCAACACCCCTCTCTCTGAATCCCCATCCTAACTAATGACCGATGACACTCTAGCCTAGAGTTACGGGGTTCAACATCCCAAAGGGCCTCCCTCCCTGAACCGTATCGTCTGCCAAATACCCACCCGCCACGAGCATCCTTATTCAATGTCCCATGCTGTTACGTCTTTGTCCACGACCCCAAAATGTAGTGATTAAGTCCTCAGTCCACTGCTTTTATGCAAGTCCTTGCTGTGGACAAGTCATAAACCTCACAGCTTCTGTGCTTTCTCGTCTGTAAAATGGGCTTGTACTTTTCCCTCACAGCATCATTGCAAGGATAAACGTCAAGCATTGACCACTGGTATTATTTGCATGGTTCCCTATAAAATATTACCTTACGATGTTGATAACAGCCCCTTAAATCTGCAGAGTGTCCAAAACGAGTGCTGTACTTCCTTATTTTCCTTGGCCTACATTGATTCGGTGCTGACCATGTGCAGGAACTCGCGTGCCTGGGTGTTGGTAAATACAATTTTGTCTATTTATTGAACACATGTGGTACCTATGTGAGCCAGGCACTGTTGAAGACACAGGAGAGAAGCAGTGAATTAAAGTGACAAAAGTTTCTGTCCTCGTAGAGCGTACATTCTTTTCAGAGAAACACTATATAAAAAGAAGATGAATGAAGAATTAGGTTGCGGGTGGTGATGCAAGCCCTGGGGGAAAATGAAGCAGGGAGGAAGGAGGGAATGTTGGGTTGGGGAGGGGGTGTGGAATTTAGCTGGAATCAAATATACAGAATCTTCCTAGCCTGTGGTAAGGAGGTCGGTCTTCCTTCCTGCGTGGTGGGAGTGTTGAATGGGGGCGGAATCACATGGGAGGTCCACTCAGCTCATCATTCTGGCTGCTGAGTTGGGGGAGAAGACAAGGTGGGGTCAGGGAGGGAAGGTGGGTGCCAGGAGGCCAGCCTGGAGCCCACCGCGGGAATCAGGCTTGGCCAACAGCCACGAAGAGTTGTGGATGGATCAGAGTGAGAGTTTTGCAGTAGCATTGAAGAAACATAGGGATACAGTGGATTCACATTCTTCACAGTAGTTAATGTTTTGTAAAGTCACCTCAAACACTGAATTAGCAAATACTGAAGTATTGTTCCTAGAGGGAAATACAGGATTAGGTTCCTATGAGCCTCTGGTCGCAATGTTTGTTGTTGTTGTTGTTGTTGTTGTTTTGAGACAGTCTCACTCTGTTGCCCTGGCTAGAGTGCCATGGCATCAGCCTAGCTCACAGCAACCTCAACCTCCTGGGCTCAAGCGATCCTCCTGCCTCAGCCTCCTGGGCAGCTGGGACTACAGGCACGTGCCACTATGCCCGGCTAATTTTTCTATATATTTTTAGTTGGCCAATTAATTTCTTTCTATTTTTAGTAATTTCTTTCTATTTTTCCCTGAAGCAGATTTTTTAAAACAAGTTCTTGCTCTGTTGCCCAGGCTAGAGTACAGTGATGTCATCATAGCTCACAGCAACCTCAAACTCCTGAGCTCAAGAGATCCTCCTGCTTCAGCCTCCCAAGTAGCTAGGACTACAGGCCCACACCACCCTGCCTGGCTAATTTTTCTATTTTTAGTAGAGACAGGGTATCGCTCTCGCTTAGGCTGGTCTTGAACTCCCCAAACTCAAGCTATCCTCTCCTCCCACCTCCGCCTCCCAAAGAGCCGGGATTATAGGCGTGAGCCACCACACCCAGCATGGAGTCATTTTAGACAGTGAATCACCAAGAAAAAGCACAAAAATGTGGCAAGTGTGGCACTAAGTAGACCATGAAATGGACTCTTGTTTATAGTACGAGAGCTAAAATCAGAAGGCAGAGTGTTGCCTTGGTCAACCTCAGCTGGGAGCGTGCGCATGAGGCTGCTTGAATTTTTCACCACTCTGTGCGTGTCTGCAAATGGCCACATAAGCCCTGAGACTATTGGTTTGGGGGCTACCTGTAGATTTTATCAAGTAGGCAAATTGGAAAATATGAAATCTGGGAACAATGAGGATCAACTGCATCTGTGGGGAGCGCGTTGAGGATGGTTCCTCCCTCACCCCTGGGTCTCATAGGGGGAGACTGTAGGTTAGTGCTCAAAGGCACAGAGGGTGGAGTAGGAAAGAGCTGGTTTTGCCACTCTATATTTTGGGAGCCTCAGTTCCCTCATCTGGTAATAACAGGCCCTTCTGCTCAGGGCTGTCAGGAGGACTGAGTGAAAGATTGGCATTTAAAGGCTCTGCACGCAGCAGCTTCTGAATCATGGATCCTCGTCAATGGAGAAGCAGGATGACGCAGCAGCTGAGGGACACAGTTTCGGAGGCCAGGCTGCCTCGGTCTGAATCCCAGTTCTGTCACTTACTGAATTGTATAACCTTAGAGTTACTCACCTCCTTTGTGCTTCAGTTTTCCCATCACTCAAGTAGGTATAACAATGGTACGTGTAGCTGGGCGTGGTGGCTCACACCTGTAATCCCAGCCATTCGGCAGGTCTGAGGTGGGAGGATCACTGGAGGCCAGGAGTTGGAGACCAGCCGGGACAACATAGTGAGACCCTGTCTCTGAAAAAGAAAAATCAGCAAAGCGTGGTGGCGTGCACTTGTATTCCTAGCTACTGGGGCGGTTGAGGCGAGAAGATCGCTTGAGCCCAGGAGTTCAAGGCTGCAGTGAGCTATGATCGGGCCACTGGGCTCTGGCCAGGGCAACAGAGTGAGACCCTAACTTTAGACCCTAAGTTCTAAAAATCGTGCATAATATCAAATGGCTTTAAGACCTACAAGGAAAAAGTCAAACTACAAAGTTAATAGATGGCAGAGAATATTTTTGTGACTTAGGGCTAAGGAAGGACTTTTTAAAACTTCAGAAGGACTAATCTAAAGGCAAAAAAAAAAAATGTTTGATTACATCAAAGTTAAGGGTTTATTTTTAACAAAAGACACCGTGGACAAAGCAAACTGATGGGTGACAGCCTGGGCGATGATGTTCAAACTCTGTGATAGTGACTCGGGATTGTGATCTCAAATATGCGAGAAAATTCCTGCAGATAAATGAGCAAAGGATTTCAACAGGAGATTTCAATAGAAGGAAACCCAAGAAAACTGATACAAAAAGATGCTCAGACTCATTAGTTATCTAAGAAATGCAAGTACAAATAACGTATCACTTTATATTTATTAGATGGATTTTTGAAAAGCTTTGAAAGTTAAATAACCCCAAGTATTAGCAGGGATGTGGAAACACAGCACAGCTGGTGTGAATGTGGACTGGTGTAGTTATTTTGGGAAGTAATTCGACGTTCCTTGGTTGAACTAAGTATATATACACCATAGGATCCAGTAGTTCCACTCCTGGATGTCTACACAAGAGTAATAATTATGCAGGTTACAAAGGGGCAAGGATGAGGTGTCTGTCACAGAGTTATTTGCTGTGGTGGAAATGAAAAGAAACCTGGGAGTCCATTAATGAGGGAGTGGATGGTAGGATGTGGCAGGTACCCACCATGGAGGAATATGCATCAGTTAAAAGCCATAAGCTAGATGTACACACAGCAACACGCATTGAATCTTAAAGGTATAGTGCTACCAACTGCAATGGTGGCAATTTTAAAAGACTGACAGTACTAAGTGTTGGCAAAGACGTGGGACAACTGGAACACTTACACACTGCTGGTGGCAATGCAAAATGGTACAACCACTTTAGAAGACATTTGGCGAGTTCTTGTAAAATTAAACAGACACTTACCTTAAGGTCCTAGCAGTCCTACTCCTAGGTGTCTATAGAAATGAAAATGTATGTCCACCCAAAGATTTACACATGAATGCTCACAGAATCCTTACTTGCAATAGACAGAAATGGGAAGCAACCCGAACATACAACTGGTGAATGATTAAAGAAGTTGTGGTATATCCACACTATGGAACACTGCTCAGCAACAGAAGGAAATAAACTATTGACAGATGCAGGCAGTCAAAAGACAAAATTACAACAAGTTTAGTATAAAGATCAAATTGGCTTTTATTTGCAATTCTGGAAACAGGCAGCGTCTCACTCTATAAAACAGAATGGGTGTTCCCATGAGCTGAGCAGAGGAGTTTGGCTTTACAGGCAGAAAGAGGATGAAGCAGAAATTGTGAACAGAAAGCAGATTGCTCTTTTCACAGTTACTTTCCTTACAGGATTAAACCAGAGGGAACTGTCTTATTGTGTCAGCTCAGGTAAACTGGGCCCCTTCTGATTGGTTGCTGTAAATCTCCTGGTTGTTTTTTGCTTATTTGTTTGTGTTTGAAAACATGCCCACTTCAAAGTCCAGTTTGATTCCCTGGCCATTAGTACACATGACCCCATTCTGGTTTGGTCTGGTCTGCTGGGGCTCAGCTCAGAAGCTTTGTTCAGAATAATGTCCTCCTCTGAGTTTATTTAACAATGCAAAAAATGTGGATGAATCTGAACTGTATTATGCTGGTGAAAGAAGCCAAACACTTACATGAGGTTCTACAAAAAGCAAAACTATAGAGGCAGTGTGAGCAGTGGTTGCTTGGGTGGGAAGGAAGGCTCTTGCAAAACGAGCACAAGGCAGCTTAAGGATGGGGTGAGGTAGGAAGGGAGGGAGGGAGAGAGGCACTGTCCTATGTTTTGACTATGGAAGTGGTTACATGATTACATAATTGCATCCAATTTCCAAAATGCCTCAAACCGAAATCTTAAAATGGGTGAATTTTCTTTTACGTAAATAATACCTTATTGAAAAGTGAGAAAAGCACAATGCTGAGTGAAACATAATAAGAATAGAATAAGCTACATACCACAGTACCATTGATATAAATCAAAAATACATTCACACAAAACAACACACAATTTATAAGATCATATAATGATAAAAAGATCTGCAACTACAATACCGTGAGTGACTAAAGGCCACTGAATTGTCCACTTTAAATGACTAATTTTACGATTTGTGGATTTCATCTTAATTTTTTTTAAAAGGCTGTGCACTAGTAAATACAATAGCAAAAGATACACAGTAACAAAGATAATAGCTAGGGATACACTAATGAAAACAATAGCAGAGGATACATATAAACAAAGATAATAGCAAAAGATACACAATGATAAAGACAATTAGCAGAAGGGAATGGGATCCAAGAAGAGAAAATAAACAAGCAAAGGGAAAGAGGCCTCTTATCCAAATCACTAATGATAATGTGGCGCCAATTAGTTCCCTGCTCTCCACCTGAGGGTCAAGAACTATCTAGACTGATTAACAAACTTTTGAAAACTAAAATTAAAAAAAGCCAGACTTCAGAAGGCTCTTGGGAGGGTTAATTGAGCTGCTACGTGAAAAGCATTCGGAACACCGCGCACGCACGACGTGAGTGCTTAATAAGTGGTAGCTGTCATTATACTCATTATTGTTGCTCTTATTATTGGTGTAATTGTTATGAGGCTCTGTCTCCAAGGCCCCGGTGCTGGAACAGGCTGTCTTGAGTGACAGCTGGGGATCTGAGAGAGTGGGAGTCGGCCGCCCAGATCCTTCCTGTGGGACAGAAAATAATGACATAGTTGAGCCAGGGATCCTGACTACAACAACACCTCACTTGGGAAGGCCGGCCAGGTGGCAGCCTTCTCAGCGCTCCCTGCCTCCTCCCTCCTCTGGGATTTCTCTGACACCTGCCGT